TGCCAATAGATCTAGAAGGATAGAGAGTTGGAACATAATTAAATAATATTATGAGCACATTCTGGAATAAAAATGTAATACCAAATTCATCCAGATAGATTGCTGGAATGGATATTCGAAATGATAAGATCAAATTGGAGTTATTCTATAAAACATGCGATGACTTGATTGACGGTGAATTATTGGTGCCTAAAAAAATGAAATGAAATTATTGAGTGCTATGGTAGAAAGCCATTTGTCCAATTACCTTTTTCTTTTGGCAAAGTTATCACTTATCATTAAGGCATTAAATGGTCAATGCGTGTTTAAGATGTTAATAGGAGTAGGAAATTATTAGCCAACAACATTTTCTGGATGTTACATGCATTGCACGTTTGCACTTTCCCACTTCAACTTAACTCTGAATTTACTGCTTTGACATTTCTGTTTCTTTCATTGGATTCTTCTTAACTTTTATTGCTTCAATTCCTCCATTATGTCATCATTGAATTTTCCACGTCTAGCAAATTGATATCTCCCTAATCTAATTTTTTTTTTTTTTTTTTTTTTTTTGTGACCGGGTGTTCGAATTAGCTTGTACCCATTTCAACTAATCTTTGAGGTCCATTCAACACCCTATAGGTTATAAATCCACCCATATCAACTAATTTTCGGGATCCATTAAATATATAATAAGCCTAATAAACCAGATAAATCACAATTGTAATAGGTGATCACTTGGTGGAACTTGAACACAAGAACTCTGAATAACTTAAGATTTTGCTATTCAACCACAAGCCAAGTGGTTATTAAGGATCTTCTTACTTTTGGATGTGATGCTACAGAGGGTGGAAAAATTCCCATTTTTTATCTTTAGCAAAATGGAAAAATCTAAACCATTATATGCCCATCCTTCTACATCGATTCAACTATACATTATAAGCTTATAAAGGCATGTTTTAGTGGCATCTCTAACCCAACACCATTTTGGTGTAAAACACCAAAAATGGTGTGAAAAATTTGCTCCAACCCAACACCAAAAATTAGGGGTGTTCAAAAAAACCGGTTGGAATCGGAATCAGCGGGTACCTAAGGTTTGGTTTCTGTTTCTACCCAGAACCAATTGTCAATAGGTAGGTTCCAGTTTCAAATTTTTGAAACCGTTATTGTGCGGTTCCGGTTCTGGTTCCTATAGTTAGGAACCAGAACCGGAACCAAGAACCAGGAACCGAGACTAATATAAAATAAAATTAAAGATTAGGGGGGTTAATAAAAACTTTTGTAGAAAAAATAATATGAATACATTTATATTTATATTTCATAACATTTAAAGTAAGTTGGTTTGACTTTTGAGAATCTACCTTTACAAAGTAATGGAGTTTGTAATTGTGAATTTATAATTTGTAATTTTATTTTTGTTAACAAGTGCCAGGCGGGGGGGTATTTGTAAGTTTTTAACAGTTTTTTTGCCATTTTAAAAACTTTTGGGGGGTCCTTGTAATTTTACAGGATACCCAGAACCAGAACCAAAACTGTTGTTACAGGTTCTGGTTTTAGGTACCTAGGAACTAGAACTGTCAGTTTCGGTTCCTTCAAAAAATGCAGGGTACCCGAAACCGAAGACCACAATCAAAAACTACATCAAATTGGGGTAAGTAAATAGTATCACACTAAATTTGGTATAATACTATTCATCCACACCAATTTGGTGTGACACTATTTATCTATTATAAAATATATTTCATTTCTTTATTTTTATTATTTAATTTTTTTAATTTGTATTTATGTTAATTTGATTATTATTCATATTAATATTTATGATAATTACATAATTAAAAAAAACAATGAAAAATTAAAAACAAAACTTTATTCAATGCAAATATTAAACTATAATAACTCAAAATAAAAATTAATACTAATTTAAAAACACTAAAATTAAAAGAAAATACAACATAAACTAAAATAACAATTTAGTATGCCGGTAGATTAGTTTGAGATTCTCTAAGATCTTCAAAATATTGAAAAGAACTAGAGCTCATCATAGATAAATCAAGGGTACGGAGGCTTACCATGCTCTTTCAAAATGCATTAATTGATCATTTGAGGAAATAATATACTAATTCGAAAAATTAAATTACTATTAATATAAAATTTTATTTTTGTGTTGTTGTTGTCTTTTTTTTTTTGTGACATTTTATATTTGATGTAATTTTTTATATTAAATACAATATTTATTTGATTAAATAAATATTTAATTTTATTAAATTAGTATAATTTTCAAAGTTATTATTATTTAATAAAAATATCATTTCCCATATTTATTTAATATATACAAAAATAATTAGTTAAATTAATTAATTATTAATTATTAATAAAAATAAAAAGAAAGAAAATATTTAAAACAATATTATTTTTGATATAATATTTGGTGTAATAGATTAAAGATGTAATAGTTAAATACATACAAAATCACACGAGAAAATTGTAACAATTTGGTGATTGAGGTTGATGATAGTCTAATACATCAAATTTGTTAAGAAAAATGATAGAGTTATCAAAAATTACATATCGAATTTATGTATTAAATGACATAGTATAATCTTAACTATTGATTAATATTAATTTATATTGAATCAATAATCAAGAATATGCTATATTATTTAGTGTATGAATTCGATACGCATCCCCCATAACGGTAACATTCGTCAATTCTCTATATGGAGTTTCAATCATCTTTTGATGTTTTTACTAGTAGAAAGCCGGAAAACTTGAAATCGAAGGTATAAAAATCTTTTTAAATCCGAGTGTCAAGTCCATGGTCCCACTGATGCATCATAGTAAATACTGGGCCAGACTGGAACTCTGGAAGCTTCTTATGATCTAGACTCCTGGTTGCACTGCACTGGGCAGCAATTCTTCACACTGTAATCTCCACGTTGTTATAAATTATAATATGTNATTGAAAAGAACTAGAGCTCATCATAGATAAATCAAGGGTACGGAGGCTTACCATGCTCTTTCAAAATGCATTAATTGATCATTTGAGGAAATAATATACTAATTCGAAAAATTAAATTACTATTAATATAAAATTTTATTTTTGTGTTGTTGTTGTCTTTTTTTTTTTGTGACATTTTATATTTGATGTAATTTTTTATATTAAATACAATATTTATTTGATTAAATAAATATTTAATTTTATTAAATTAGTATAATTTTCAAAGTTATTATTATTTAATAAAAATATCATTTCCCATATTTATTTAATATATACAAAAATAATTAGTTAAATTAATTAATTATTAATTATTAATAAAAATAAAAAGAAAGAAAATATTTAAAACAATATTATTTTTGATATAATATTTGGTGTAATAGATTAAAGATGTAATAGTTAAATACATACAAAATCACACGAGAAAATTGTAACAATTTGGTGATTGAGGTTGATGATAGTCTAATACATCAAATTTGTTAAGAAAAATGATAGAGTTATCAAAAATTACATATCGAATTTATGTATTAAATGACATAGTATAATCTTAACTATTGATTAATATTAATTTATATTGAATCAATAATCAAGAATATGCTATATTATTTAGTGTATGAATTCGATACGCATCCCCCATAACGGTAACATTCGTCAATTCTCTATATGGAGTTTCAATCATCTTTTGATGTTTTTACTAGTAGAAAGCCGGAAAACTTGAAATCGAAGGTATAAAAATCTTTTTAAATCCGAGTGTCAAGTCCATGGTCCCACTGATGCATCATAGTAAATACTGGGCCAGACTGGAACTCTGGAAGCTTCTTATGATCTAGACTCCTGGTTGCACTGCACTGGGCAGCAATTCTTCACACTGTAATCTCCACGTTGTTATAAATTATAATATGTAAGTTGAAAAGAGAAATTACCAGACGGTGAAAGTGTCAAATGTCGAAGGTTTTTTATAGTTAAATGAAATTATTCAAATTTTGGTGAAACAGAACTCTATAGTTTCCAAGTGACAAAGCCAGACGCCCATCCAAAATCAGTAAGGTTTTGTCACCAAAATTGACATATATCAAATTTACGGGCCCTAGATTAAAAAACAGTGGGGGAAAGCCATACGTGTCATAATATATCTCAAAGTTTCTTCTTAGGAAGGGAAAATTTAATATCTTGTTGGAGCTGTTTGAACAAGGAGTGTATAAGATAATAAGCTAATCTTTATTTATTTTATAAGATTCTTATGTTTGATATATAAGTAATAAAATATTACTGTAATATTTTATTATAAATAGTATTTAATGTTTAGTTTGCGAGTAATAAAATATTATTATAATATTTTATTGTAAATAGTATTTATTGTGTTGGTAATGTGAGAGATAATCTTATTACCTTGTTAAAGGGTGTTATTAAAACATTATCAAGTAATCTGATTTTTCTACCCATTTTGTCCTTAATAAAAATTATTTCGGACACAATTACCTTCAAATGTCTACAAACAAAAAAGTTTAAAAATTAATAAAATACCCTCAATCACCCAAGACCATCACCGGTCGTGACTCATCACCGCCGGTTGTCGGTGTCAATCGCCATAATGGTGCACGACCGACAGGATTTAGTCTTTCGCGCGCTGATAAGACATTTTCTAGCCAAATTTAGGTTTCTATTGCCGTGAAAAGGCTAGATCTTTGGCCCTACCATTCAAGGCCAGATTTTTTGCCGTGAAATGGCAGGGCCAAAGATCTGGCCTTTTCACGGCCATATTTATCATATTTAGTCGTGAAATGACCATAAATCTAATCGTTTTTCGACCATGAATTGTGATCCATGGCCATTTATAGCTTTTCCGACACACGATTGGCCCGTTGGGCATTCCATTGACTACCTACGATGGCCAACGGTGGTAGCTGACTATTGACAGTGGCTTCAGGTGTGTTAGGGGTGATTTGACTATAAATTAAAATTTTATATGACCAAGATGTTTTAACAAAATTTCAAACGTAAGGTTTAAAAGAAATGGTTCAAAAAATAATAATAATAAATATTATTATATTAAATTAAAAAAAAAAATAATTCAATAATCTATATAACATACCCACTCATTTATCATTCCAACCAAACATATTATTCATCAATTTATTTGAACCAACATCCACCCTTATCCATTGTGATATATCATATAGACAAACGCCGGAGAAGTAGAACCTTGGGTAAAATATTTCAGTGAACTGTATTTTATGAAAGGAGGCTGGAGTTGTATCGTCAATAACCGTCATAAATGCGGAGTTGTATCGTCAATGACCATCATAAATGCAATAACTTTCAACTCACGGCAGGGTACTGGATATCATAAACATGGAGAGATATCTGAAAACAAAAATTACATATGAAAGTAGTTGAAACTAAAAATAGCAAATCCCGGAATTTGTATTTATATATACACCAAAGATGAGTGATGATGATTAATGAACAGAGATAGTATCAATACAACAAGACCAACATGGCAAAAATCAGTGGCACACAATCTGACATATGAAGATAAAATAAGTCAAACCAAAGCGTACAACTCTGGAACAAACGAAAACCACCTGAAACCACAGCTCCACTTCTCTGGAATTGAAGGGCATCTGGGCAACCAATGCCAAGTCCTTCTGGAAACCTTCAAGTACAAAATTTCTGGCCATGTGTAGCAGCAAACACAGATCATCCCCTGATGCCAAAAGCAATAAACATGCTCATAATTGTGATAACAAATTGACATAAATTTTCTACACATCAATTCAGGCAAGCTCTCCACTTCAATCCATGTCCCTTCATCACTCAATTCCCACAGTTTCATGCTCCTTGAAATCCCATTTCTTCCAACTCCACCAATCAAATACAACTTCCCTTCACCATCACTCACCAGCCTGACAAAAGTAACCTCCGCAGGCATGTTACATTTGAGTCTGTCCCATTTCCCACTTTCCAAATCAAAGGTCACTATTGAAAACGGCTCTGGAGTTGTAAAGTACAATGACCCATTACAGAATACGGTTTCTTGATGATTATTGTCGCTCAGAATCGACTCAAAAACAGCGAATGTTCTCCAACATAGGTCCCTTGAATCATAAACAAAAGAGTAATTCGAAGAAAATTTTGTGGAAAACATAAAGATTTTATAACCCAAAGGCGTAGAAACCAAAGTTAGCGACTCAAATGCAAAACGGTAAGTGGGGAATTTGATGATTCTCGAAGACTTGGTCAATAGATTGCAGACAAGAAAAGAAGACAAGGTAGGAAGAGAAAAGCAAAAGAGGCCATTAGAGGACGACAAAAGAGTACATGGAACACCAGCGGCGCAGGGTAGCAAATCAGAGAGGAAGCGAGACAAATAGCGCCAGGTTCCGAGGTTGGAGTCATAAAGAGGGAAGTGACGATAACACTGGGGGTGAGATAGCAAAATAAAAGAAGAGAAACTTGAAGAAGAAGAGGAGTACTTAGACATAAAAGAAGGTGAAAATAGAAGAGTCTTGAAATGCTTACATGTTGATCTCAAATTCAAGAACGTTTTGAGAGGCAAAAAATAGAGAATATGCTCCAAGAGTTCCTCCGGCAAACGGCTCCATATGACAGGATCCATTTCTGATGATTGGAGTTGGAGACCTCGTTGGTCCTTCATGTTCATAACTGCAGACATGGAACCTGTTTGTTTGCTTGATGGTTTGAGAATTGAGAATAGAGAGAGATGGGTATGACTCTTCTTTTGTTGTGAAATTGTCTTTGGAGAGAGACTCTGTTTGGATTGCCCTATTAATTTAGAATTTTGGCACGTAGGAAACCATTGACACAAACTGTAACAGTTTATAATATCATTATGTGGCCTTTTCTCGTCACGTGTCAGTCTGTGCGGCACTTTTCTTGTTTAATAAAATTTATACATATATATAGAAAATTGATTAGTTGATAATAAAAAAGTGTTAAGAGAATTAGAGTAACCACAGGGTGAGATGAGTGATGCTCAATGATCATTACTATATACTATATAATTTAGTTATCATTTAAAAATTAATGATCCAATACATGATTGTCTATTTTCTTATTTGATTGATCTGATGAAATACTATATACTATATAAATCTCATTTTCAAGGACTATTTGAAATTGAATAAAATATGGTATAGATAATATTTTCTTACATGTCAACATTTATTTAATGAAGTTAACAAAGTTTTTAAACTAGTTCAACAGAATACAAAGGCGAAGTGTTTTACAAGTATCAATTATCAAACAAGTAATTTATATTCTATTATTGAATCTAAAATTTAACCGGACTCGATTCAATAAAGAGGCGTAAAATTCAACCTTAAAAAAGTAAACAACACATATTTCAGAATGAGGGGCCGACTGTAATATTTAAGAGTTATTTAATCAAGTTTTAACCTTTATTATATGTATATACATATATATCAAGAGTCTAGAATACAGATGGTTTAAGGTGACATGAGAATGGGATGCACCATGTTATTGTCATGGCATCCATATAAATTCATAAATGAAAAATGAGTTGATGCAAATATTGTTTTCAGTAAGATCCTGCAAATCTTTTTTATAATTTGAATCTTTTGCCCCCAATTTGTGGCATCTTCAAGGATTTCATTTAGTTGATCATGAAAGTTAATTAATGTCTAATTGGGGTGGCCACTGAGGGGTTTATTTTGTCATTCACTTCAGGGTTTAATTAGTTGAAGTTCACACAAACTAACTCGAATATCCTGATAACAAAAAAAATAATTTAATTAATGCTACTTGAAAGATCAACTATTATTAATTAGTATTAATGATTTAAGAATAAAAGTTACATATGGCCATGGTCATGGTCATGGACCTTTCCAGCTATCATCTCTGATATTGTAAAATTACGAAGGATTAGTCTAATTAAATAAGGTTAAATTTGACAATCTTTTACCATTTTGTGGTTTTGAAACGAAATAATCAACGATATTTGCATCCAAGGGCTAAAAGTAGTTGAAGAGGATAATTAACAAAATTATTGTATCAAACTGCTTTGGGGCTTGGGAGTTCACATAATAGTATAAGGTTGGGATTTTGGATTTTATTTATAAAATAACTCTCACTTAATCATAATATTCATGAGATTCTAGGGAGAACCGTTCCTGGCTAGGACATTATTTAAACCCATAGAGGGCTCAGGGCATTCCTTTTACCCATTCTCATCTCTATAATCGGCTAATCTCTACTTTTATCGAATTTAATTGTCCGGCGTCTTATTTTTACCGGTTGGCTGTCATCCTCATCCATACCTTTTATTGTTTCTTCACTTCTGTATCATATTCTTAGGCTAAGCATCATCGAAACTCTTAAAAGAGAAGATATTCTTACAACAATGTGATCATAAACATATTGTATGATCCAGTGATGAAAGAGCTTCGTGGATTAGAACCAAAAATCCCGCTAACTGCAAGGCAGAAGCTGAGAAGCATCACCAGATAAGCTACTACATTCTTCAAATTAATAGCTCAAATTCTTTTAATCCTTCTAGCACAATATACATGACAGATGACCCACAAGTCACAACTCATGTATTTCAATTACCACAAGTAAAATTGTTAATAATATATGTATTGGCAATTGGAAGGAGGGATTTTATTATTAAACATGTACATTAACCCAATTTCTACACAAAAAACTGACCAAAAATATAATGTCAAACAAACAAATACCGAGCATATACATGAAACCGCAAAGATTGTACATATTTGACGAGTTATTGTGCGTGTACAAATTAGATGGTGATGATCTCAATATATGGAACTTGTTTATACAGCAGCAAAAGTCAATCGCTCCAGTTATCGTGATCCTGCCCAGGCCCTAAATCCTGAAAGTTCATCTCAACTAAATTAGGTCAAGACACTCCACCAGAGTTTGATATCTTAAGTAAAATAAACAGTGAAAAAATTCAAAGGGTCTACCATGTCATCAGAACTAGATTTGGATGGAGACCAGACAAGAATTTGTCTATCATTGCCACCTGTGTACAGTTCCTGCAACAAGCGGCAAATCAGTTAAATGACTGGCACAATATACATAATACATGGCCTGATGAGTAATAGACAAACACACTTCATTGTCTTAGTTCAAATACCAATGATTAATTAAGCCACGTCAAAACAGTGAATACCTGATCCTGGGAGCTAAACCAGCAACAATTGACAAATTCATAATGGCCGCGAAATGCCAAACATGTCTTACCTGTCCAAACATCAAATGCCTAGGAAGAAGAAAAGACACATAAGGTTCCCATGAAAAAATGTCCCATTCTAGTGGAAAATTGTCTATAGATTAAAAGAGAAACAAAAATTAAAAAAAAAAAAAAAAAAGATGCCGATGAAAAGATGTTTTACTTTAACAGCTGTCATGCATGGAACAAAAGCAAGAGCTGGATCGGGTGATGTTGCTAACTGTATTGCCTTGCTGGTTTGTAAGCGAACGGTTTCAAAGTTCACAAGTGTATTGCAGCCAGATTCCAGGTCCCACAACCTTATTCTTGAATCAGACCCTGAAATTGGAAAGCAGAGAAAAAGAACTGTCATGATTTGGAATTAGGAAAAAAGGTTGTCCATTTTTACTACTAGTTCACATAATTCATCAAGTACAGATGCAATGATATAAACCTGAAACTGCAGTTAGTTAAAAAGATACAGAAAGCCATAAAAAATTCAACAAATCATAATTTATTACAATTAGCAACATTTATTAAAAAATAAATTAGCTCTGAGAAAATTGAAGTATATATTGCAGCAGGTACCATAAATTTGACCTATATGATTACTTCATACAATCTACATTCAATTCGTCCCACAAATAGTATTTATATCAACTCCAGGAAATGGACAAAACCCAACCTGCACTGAGGAGATACATTCCATCCTCAGTTACTTTCAGGCCAGTAACAGCACCATAATGAGCAGTGGCACGATCCTGACCAGACAACATCCCTGGATGCAATCTCTGCTTCACAGATCCCTTGACTGGGTTTCGACCAACAAGTGACTGCTTTAAACCATTTCCATTAGCAGACCTCCTTTGTGCTGCCTTTGGTTTTATGGATAAATTTTGACCTGCTGACAAGGACTTTGATGTTGAAACCTGCACAAGGATATAAATAATAATGTTTAGAAAAGATAATTAATAGGTTAATGACATTTCACAAATCACAGGCACAGCAACACATAATTTAATGCAGTTCCAACAAATTAGTTAATGATGGAAAGCAGGCAAAACAAATGACCGAAATCCACAACCTATGCAGGAAGCATAATTTGACAATAGCCTATTATGGTTGTCACCGCCCATGCACATGATTACATGAATATCTCACAATTTGGCTTGAATATCATCACGAAAGTAACCTCAGTATCATTTTATACAAATTGGTACTTGGGGTCATCATTAATTAGCTCAGGGAGAGTTTACAGCACTGTAATTATACTCCATTAGCTTATTATCGTCAACTAACTAAATAAGCACATGAGAAATATAACATTCACGTAAGACTAATTTCATACATAAAATCAGCACAAGACTATTTCATTGCAACATATACATGTGATTACAAATGTACAAACAACTTTACATATATGTAGCTTATATAGTATATAGTATACAAAACAAACATCAAAAGGCAACCAAGGGAAAATCTACTCTCACAGTTGTTAGTTTTAAAGGTTTGCTTCTAAATCATGTTATGAATGAAAAGTTATCAAGTGGGCATCAATTTGCAATTTAAGAAACAGTTTTGAACTAGCGGTTGCCTTTCAAGCAGAAAAAGACTAGATTATCAGGAAAGTACCTTATTCATGCTGGTGCGCTCCATGAGAGGTGGGCGTCTCCCTAGCTGAGACTGAGACTGATCCAAAACACGAAAACATCCAGCACGTCTGATATCCCAAAAACGTATAGCACCATCACATCCCCCTGTTACTAAAACCCACTCACTGGATGTAGACCATTCTACTGTCATTATGCCATCTGTCATCATCAAACAACATATGCAGACTTATATTTTCGTACCCACTCTAAAGTAATCATTACATGCTGCATCCCTCCAATAAGCAGGATCAACTTGGTATAATATTCTAACAACTGTGGAATATCAGTGAAAGATAACAATGATCCATGTGACAAAAATTTGGTGACAATTGTTAAAATGATATGATAAATAGAGTAATTTCACAAAAGCATGAGCTTACCACGGTGACCAGACAATGTGTGGGAAAATGCCCCAGAGGCAATATCACAAAGGCGAACTTGAACATCTTCAGTTCCAACAGCAATTAGCATGTGGGATGTTGCCAATGAAGACATGGCATTTCTATAAACCTTTCCAGGCATTTTGAAATTCATGACTACCTATAAAAACAAAATTAAATAACGAAAAAACATTTAAAAAAAAAAAATTGGCATGACTTTGGATAATATAAAGCACAATAAGAAAGACGAATGAGAAGTTAACATACCTGAGTAGTATTAGTATCCCATACTTTTACACAATGATCATAGGATCCCGTTATAAATAGGCCAGTGTCAATAGGATACCATACGGCCGAGGATACGGCGTACTTATGACCGTGTTGATGCTGCTTATCAACAACAAATACACTCTTGTGCTTTGCAATAACACCACCTCCTTCATGATGTGTGGGCCGTTGAACATCATAGACAGCCACTGATGCATCTGATGCACTCGATAATAAATATCGTCCCTCTGTCAGATCAACCTGATTTCACGGTCAAACATACGTGGGGCCTCTAATCTCTTCTTAACAAATCCTATGCTTATTTTTATATATTATTACATATCAATCATAGGATTATGGAAATGGAGCAATCTTAAGCATAGCAAAAATCAGTTATAATTCCCATTTACTAAGACACACACACACACACACACACAAAAAAAAAAAAAGTACCTGAAGAGAGTTGATAGAGCCTTTATGAGGAGAAACTATGTCTTTGTAATTGGAGAGTTGTAGAGTGGAGATTCGATTGGATTTAATCCGATTCGTGAAAGAATTTGGGCGGATTTTACCCACTTCTCTGCCTCCAATTTCCTTCCACATTCTACAAGCATCTTCGGCCTCAAAAACTCGCTCTCTTCTTCTTTTTTATTTTTAATTTCTTCTTTGTAAGGATCAATTCAACGTTAATCTGATTCAATGATGCCTGTATGGCTGTATGTGATCCCTGTCCCCAGAGGATGTAGTACTAGCAACCAAAACTGAATCAAAATCCTTCCTTCTACCTTTTATACCTCTCTTTCTTTCTCGTTTGTCTTGTTGCCCACCACCGTACAGTGTGGATAAGTAGTAGTATTAGTGAGTAGTGACACGAGAGAAAGTTTCTCATAACTTGGTCGGCCCGTCAACTGGCCTATTGGGCTGTTAGTACTGTAAAGTGGACCATCCAGCCCATTTTGTTTCAGCATTTCAATAACGGAAACAAGCCCAACCATATATGGATGTCTCTGTGCATCAGATTATATCGTATTGTATGAGCATCAACGATTGGAAGTGATTTTCAGCGCTCTTGACCTTCACCCCACTGTCAAATACACATTTTTTTTTTTGAGTTTATTCTCCCCAATTTCAAACTTAATTAGGTTTTTTAAAATTGATTTAATTATAGATATTTACAAACATTATTTTGATGTTGACCGAAGTATAAAATTGTACATTTAGAGAATAGTTTGTTGATTACAGTTTTTTCCACGTTAGAAATTCAATAATTAATATGTAATTGACAAAGATGTGGAGATGATGACATAAAGAGTTGTTTCAAATTCCACGGGCCTTTTAATTATGATGGCAAGTTGGCGGTTGGATGTTTAGTCAGACATTAATTATATGATGAATAAATAAATGAGGATGATGAGTGGGGGTTTGTCATGAGACTGTAAAAAAACAGGAAGAAAAGGGAAAGTCTCAGCTTAAACATGTCAGTGATTTCTTGATCAAATAACATAAACGACAGCAAAAGAAATAAACACCATTACTGATTCTTCAGCTTATCACGGGTCTGTTTCTCTTTTGTTTTTTTATGCCCTTTTCCTTATGATCTTTTAAGCTTTTTTCAGCCATACCCGTACTTGACTACGCTATTTCAACTGTTTAATCCATCGAGGAAGTGACCACTCATAAAAGAAGCACAATATGAACATACAAAAATCCACCAGGCCGCCACCCACATTTGAATAATCGCTTCTTGGGTACTGTGTTGCAGAGATAAAAAAAAGGTAGAAAAAAATAGTCAAAAGATTACCGCAAATGATGCTGGCGATGGAGATCTGTAATCTTTGTCCAACATAGAAGAAGTGAATTCCCATTAGTTATCATTCATCCCATTCACTGCAAAATCAATTCATTATTTATTTAACACGAATTTAAAATTGAGTAGGTGTTCCTGCCCATAATTTATGTAATGCATGATGCAAACAATATGAACCATTTTATGTTTAAAATCATCAAATAACGTAGTTGTTTATTTAATTTAATAATTAAACTTTAGAAAATTAATATTACAACAGTTTGATGTTATGGTCGATTTAAATATTAAGTTGGAGAACTAATCAAACGCCAACCATCCAACCAACTACTTCGAATTCGAAAACTGATTCATGTGGATTTACAATAATACCCCCGGGATCCACCTTCCCAACGAGATGTGCATGCAAATCAATTAAAATCTTTTTAATGGACTTGAAACTCTCATGGATGGATGGGAGATATATTATTTGTCTTTTGCCCTCATCAATTCTCAATGCTAAAATCATGTAAAATATTGGAGTTACTTTATATGCACCATTTTTACATTTTTATATGACACAAATTAAGATATTTTTTCTAAGTTTCAGGATGTAAATATTTAACTATCTTTGAATAATTTAATTATTCGATAAAAACTCTTGGATGTATTACTTAAGAGGTCTTGAGTTCGAGTTATTCATCAGTTGTTAATAGGGGTAACCACTGGAACTTTTACTCGATCACTAATTCTAATATTTCGAAAGATTAGTTGAGGTGTACGTAAACTGACTTAATTACTTCGATCATAAAATAAAACGAAAAGGATGTAAATATTTAGTTTATTTAATTATTAATTAAAAATTGTTCTTACAAATAAAATAAAAGGGTATATGTACACAAGTCTTGCTGACGAGGGCTAACGCATATCAGCATTTATGCTCCTAAGTTGTAGGGAATGAAAATGGAGGGGGAGTGAATGTGGAAACACGAGGGCAGTTTGGGAATTTATTCAATTTGGAAAGGCAGTGGGTTTCTAAAATAGCTGTCACTCATAATTCAAATACAAAAACAAATAGCCAACAAAATTTCAAACAGAATCTAATATGAAATGAGCTAAATGGTTTATTGACTGAAACCAACTTTTCTCCTCAACAGGCCATAATGCCAATACCTTCTCCATACTGTAAAACTCACCTGCACTTTTCGAAGGTACAAAATCCAAAAACAGATTAAAAACACCAAACACGCATTCTGTGTTCAGATCTCTATTTTCATGTTTAATAATAAAGCTAAGATTATTTTGTTTGTTTTGTTTTTAGCTTCAACATTTGCTTCATATGTATTTGAATTGAATTTTTTTATCAGAATACTGAAAAGCCAAAGACACAGAGAAGTAGCTTTCATGGCTTCAACCACTGCTGTAAATCACGTTATTTCTTTTGGTAAGCCCGAAGCTGCCTTCTCTTGTATTGTATGCCTCGCTATTTTCACCTCTTCGCCATTTGTTTCTTTTCTTTTAATTCTACTTGTCTTGTTCTTGCTAGTCGCTTTCTCTTCTCTCGTTTTTATCCCATAAGTTTCTTCGCTGTGGTTGCCATTAAGGATATTTTTGTTGTAATGCGATGATTTTGGGGTCACGTCGTTAACTACGCTTTGTTGCTAGTGTTGTTCATTCTATGCTGTTGCTACTTGCTATGCAAATCTCCGTTATTGTTTTCTGATCTTTTTTACAGCTCATTTTCAACTGGTCTGATAAAGGGAACTTTATTGGGTTTCTTTTTTTAGGATTGTTATAGGATTTTTTTAATTTCATTGATCATGGCCAGTCTGTCTACAGTAGAACTTCAATATGTTTCTTTTTTTGAAAATATGGTTTGGAAATGAATTGCCTTAAGATAAAAAACGTGTTTTCATTCTCATTTTCTGGTATCCAGATGAAACAAGTCTGTGAAGAGTGAAGTTATCATATACATTTACAAAGAGAAATTCAAAATTTGTTTTGGAGAAGATGTTGTGTGCTTGTTCCGGTGAGCAGTTCAAATTCGAAGACGCACCACAGTCGCCCGAGTCTTTGGCTACGAGAGATTTCTCAGCGAGTGGCTTTTCTTCAAGGGCCACAGGAGATTGGGACTCTAAAGTTGAGGATATTCAAGTAGATGAAGCTGAATCAACTCTCAAAGAAGCTCTTTCCCTAAACTATGAAGTGGGTGTTGTCTCTAATCAAGATTGACTTATTAATTCATAGCTGTTCTCTTTTTAATAATGTCTAAGTTCTTCTTTGACTGCGTTTCCAGGAAGCAAGGGCCCTGTTGGGGAGACTTGAGTACCAGAGAGGGAATTTTGATGCTGCACTCCAGGTATTCCAGGGTATTGACATTAGAAGTTTAATCCCAAAAATGACCAAAGCTATCGTTGAGAGAACTCGGCCCCGAAAGCCACGTTCCAAGAGTGATAAAAGTGATGTTGTGCTTCTTGGGGTAATGTCAATGCATTCTGTGAGCTTACTTCTGGAAGCTATCTTACTCAAAGCAAAATCCCTGAAAGAGCTTGAGCATTGTAAAGGTATTATATTTTATCTTTTTGTGACAGATTAATTGCACATTGTCTATATCAAACTATCTATGTAATATACAGTTATGAACGGTTTAAGTATGAGAGAATTTCAGTACTGTATAACCATCTTGTGAGGTGTATGATCTGTAAAATTATTTGGACAAGGAATGCTATTAGGTCTTCTGGGTGGTTTAGATTTTTTATAATTTGAGTTTTTGTTATAGAGGACTGGTGGCCCCTATATGTGGGACTGCACAGGTGTGGAAGTTGTTTTTGCGAGTCAGAAGTACAAATAGGTCTGATACTTTTTTTTTTTTTTTCTTTTCTCAGAAGCTGCAAAGGAGTGCAAAATAATTCTGGACATAGTGGAATCAGCCCTACCTAAGGGAATGCCTGAGGGCATTGGTGATGACTGCAAGTTGCAGGAGATTTTTCATAAAGCATTGGAGTTGCTCCCACATCTGTGGATAAAGGCAGGCTTTCTTGAAGAAGCTATCATTGCATATCGCCGGGTTTTGGTCAAGCCCTGGAATTTAGATCCCCAGAAGTTAGCAAGTGTGCAGAAAGACTTAGCTGCTACGTTACTCTATGGAGGTGTTGAAGCAAGCCTTCCCTCTGAAGTTCAGGAATGGGGTCCAACGGTCCCTGAAAACAATATAGAGGAAGCAATCTTATTGTTGTTAATACTCATGGAAAAAGTGGCATGTAAGAAAATAAAGTGGGATGCAGAAATTATGGACCATCTGACTTATGCACTCTCAGTTACTGGGCAGTTTGAATTATTAGCGGAGTATGTGGAGCAGGCTTTTCCAGGTGTCTACAATCGAGCTGAGAGATGGTACTTTCTGGCTCTTTGTTACAGTGCTGCAGGCCAGGATGAAACGGCCCTGAACCTGCTGGAGAAGATTTTTGGTCATTCTGAAGCAAAGCATAAGCCTCATATCCCTGCTTTTTTGTTGGGAGCAGAATTGTGTTCCCGAGATCCAAAGCATGCTCATGAAGGGATTAAGTTTGCTCGAAAAGTAATTGACTGTACTAGTCACCAAAATGAGCGTTTTACGGGTCAAGCCCAAAAATTTCTTGGTATGTGTTATGGAAATGCAGCAAGAAAGTCTATATCAGATTCGGAAAGAGTTTTCTTTCACAAGGAGTCTTTGAACTGTCTAAATTGTGCTTCTCTGAATGGGAAGGAGGACCCAGAAATGATGTATAATCTAGGGCTGGAACATGCAGTGCAAAGGAATTTAGATATGGCTTTTGACAATGCACTGATGTTCTCTGATACAGTAGTTGGAAACACAGTGAAAGGCTGGAAGCTGTTAGCACTTATATTGTCTGCAGAACAGCGACTAAAGGATGCCGAAACCATCGTCGATTTCGCTTTTGACGAGGGTGGGAAAATGGATCAGTTAGAACTTCTTAGATTAAAAGCTGTCCTTCAAATTGCTCAGGAGCATCCCAAGCAAGCAATAGAAACCTACAGAATGTTGCTGGCAATGATTCAAGCACAAAGAGAGCTTCATTCTAAGGACTTAGATGAAGCAAAGTACTTTAGTACTGAGGTATGTATTCTCTGAGGTCAGAGCATATGGATTTACATTCTCATATATTATAAAATCATAATGGAGATTTCATTGTCACTTCTTGGTTTAAGCGTACTAGATTCAGCAACTATATAGCCATTAACTGTCATCCTTCTCCGAAGCTGCTTCTCTTCTCTTAATCTGCAAAGCAAATACAGCTGCACCTTGATACCTATTGTTATGTTCACTATGTTGAATGTTCATAAATATGCTATTAATTCAGTTGTTCAACCACCATTATTGAGAAATGGCATAATTTTTCCCTACTGATTAATTATCTTCTATCATTTGCAGGTATTAACAGGAAAAAATTTGGAAATTGCAGCTTGGCAGGATTTGTCTGCCATTTATGTGAAACTTGAATCATGGGCTGACGCTGAAGTTTGTGCAGAAAAAGCCAAGTCAATTGAATTCTATTCTCCCAGCAGTTGGCATAGAACGGGTAATAATCCTCTCTATTATAATGTGTTCGTGAACATGAAAATATCAATTTTATGTGGGTGTGCGGCAGACATATTTGATCTTTGGAAGCATGAAAGTTCAGAAGTTTAATTCCCATTCAATTTCCATGATATGTTTCTAGGTATGCTGCTCGAAGCTCAGTCACTGCACAAAGAAGCTCTTGTTTCTTTCTCCATATCACTGTCAGTAGAACCAGATTATGTACCAAGTATTGTTTCAACAGCTGAAATACTGATGAAACTTGGTGGCCAATCTCTCCCTATTGCTAGAAGCTTTCTAATGAATGCCTTACGTTTAGATCCCACAAATCATGATGCTTGGATGAACCTTGGACTGATTTCGAAAATGGAAGGCTCTTTACAACAAGCGGCAGACTATTTTCAAGCTGCATATGAGCTGAAGCTGTCAACTCCTGTTCAAAGTTTCGTGTGATAGTGATTTTGCAGTAATCTGAAGCAGATAACTAATGGAATAATGGACCTTTTCTTATCGTATTTAGAGGCAGTAATTCAATTGAACTGGTTGCATCACAGAAAGGAGTCCAATAACTGATGACTACGGCTTGTTGACCCACTGTTGGTCAGTGAGCAACTGTCATTGTTCAGTAGCTTCGAGTCATTCTTTGTCAACAGCAAAATGTTAATATATAGGTAAATAGGCTTCACGGTGAATCAGAAAACTTTTTAAAGCTAGGATCTCAGGTGGATCCGTGGAAATCTTGTAATATTGTTTCAGCGCCCAAGGCGAGTTGATGAATTTTTTTTTTTTGGAATAGGGTATTTGCAAATTGCAGACGTAAAAAATCATTATAACTCTATTTTTCCAAGTGCAAATATTATAAAACTATTAAGATTTTAATAACTTCCATCCAATTTTTTCATAATATTTCCTATTCGAGAGTAGTGTTTTTAGGATGTAAATAACTCCCATCATATGGTCTTCCACCATCCTATTTTCTTGACTATCATGTAAATCTCTGTTATGGTCAGGTACTCATCTTGCATATAAAAGACTTCGGTAGTTTAGCAGACTTCAATAGCAAAGAGAAACACATAAAAACTGTAGTATACGGATGGTAAATAAAAGCTGTGGTACGAGGATGGTGGCACTCAAATGACTCATTTCATCATACACTCGAGATTTCCTAACATCAAAGTGGTCACTAAGAGTGTACTTAATATGCATTGGCAGTAGCAGTATCAGAAATGGGTGAAACCCATCGAACCTAAGTTCCAGCGCAACATAATATGTGCCCTCAGGATACACAAATTCTTTGTCTTATTTCTCCCTCAGCTCTATATGGCCATTAAAAACCAAAAAATAAAAAAATAAAGAAAAGATTGACCTGTAAATTTATGCAGAAAAGACTGGTACAAGCAGTGTCAACACTAAAGCTGCATCACGGAATGGATGGCTGCTACAACATTTTATAAATAGAAATTGAATTCACTAAAGGAGAGTCACCAACATAACTACAGTCTATAGTNACCTTCCAGCGCAACATAATATGTGCTCTCAGGATACACAAATTGTTTGTCTTATTTCTCCCTCAGCTCTATATGGCCATTAAAAACCAAAAAATAAAAAAATAAAGAAAAGATTGACCTGTAAATTTATGCAGAAAAGACTGGTACAAGCAGTGTCAACACTAAAGCTGCAGCACGGAATGGATGGCTGCTACAACATTTTATAAATAGAAATTGAATTCACTAAAGGAGAGTCACCAACATAACTACAGTCTATAGTGGTATGGTATGGATTATAATAGGCTATCCTATTTTCATGTAAACAGTGTGGAATTGAAAGCAAAAAGAAATAGAAATCAATGTAGGCATCATAGAAAGAAGCATAAATGACCTGTTAACTAGCAAGGAGGATAGTAACTAAACAAACTCATCTAAACCACCACATTACGAAACAGAAGATTTTGTCATCAATTGAAATGTTTTCTTATTAAGTGAAATAAAATGATTATAGATCAGTATTTTGTATAAATTACTTTAACCACTTACTCAACCATAATTTTCAATAAAACATCAATAAAGAAATAAACAGAGTCCATTCATTCGCTGCACTTTACCATTCTGTCAATCACTTTAACCATATCAAAATTTAAATGAGCTGGTAAAATTTTCTGCACAGAGATCACAAAGAGGATGCACAGAGGTAAAAACTATTTAAAAAGAGAGGCCACTGAAACAGTACAAGAGTAAAACACAAATAATTTACATCTTTTCAACTTTATTTTCTGTAATCCACAGTTAATAAACTAAAAGATAAAATAATTACAGAAAACTTTTAACTGATGGTGAAATGGCTGTGGTGTTATCAACGATTTGCTTCTGGCAAAGCAGAGAAATCAGTTGAATCAATCCTAATAGTACCTGGCAGAAAACACCAACTAAGAACTGAGGGGAGCAGTTCTGGAATCATAGACATTTATAGTTTATACAATCTGAATGCATGCGTGAATAAGTAAACTTCTTTTCAGAAACTTGTATGCATCCGCATTTAATCTCATGAACAGCTGGCTTGATCAGGTTTCTCTCAATAAGAAATCTCAGACACAGGAAAACATCTTATATGAAGCTAACATCAGGGAATATAAATTCGAGTGTCAAGAATTTTAGTTGCAGTATAATTTTTCACCTTTATCATCAGATATTAATGCCCAAGAATGATATCACAAAAGAATGTCCATTTAGATTCTAACAATAAGTGTCATAAAAAACATAACTCCATTTGAGTGACAGGTAAAGAAATCATGCTATATTCAATATTTGTAGGTAGAAAATTTACTTACAATAAACAGTTGTAGTTAAACAGGCAACAAACACAACCTCAACTCATCTGCCACTGCACCAACAGCATGAAAACAAAGTGTCAAACTTGCATTATATAGTTAAATAAGAGAAATGGTTTAAGAAAAAATTCCCGTCCACATCCTTAAAAAAAAAGTTTCGAACTTCGATAGGATAGGAAAAGGACAACCTTAAGAACTGGCTCGCCTGTGTTAGAATTTGCAGATTGCTTTGCCATCCCTTGCATCTGTGCACGAGCAGCTTTTCCCGCAGCTGACTTATCAAACTGTTCTTGCCTGCAATAATGGCCTTATCTAAATGTTGAGTGATCTGATAAAGAAAGCATTACGCCACTATTAAATTTACTTCTTCATGATTTATTTATAAGTAATATTTCATTAACAATGTTAGCATAACCCTCTTAAATATACAAGCACGGTAAAAATAAAATTTAGAAATCCATTCCTCTGATGAATGCAAAATGAAATTAAATTTATAAATCCAAAACTCAAATGTAATTTCCTAAATCAAATTCTACCAAAACCTATACAGTTCTAAATTCAAGTCAACTTTGACACAAGATTACGAGAATATATGCACAAATAGCAAAGAGATTACGTTTTAAGAAATCCTTATCCCACAATAAATTATTCGATTTCAAAGGGTAATAGTATTGTCAACGAATTAACAAGAAATTCAATAAGTCAAACCCGGGATCATGAACGTGATTAGAGGAATTGAACAGCTAAAAAAAAACTATGAAGAAAATTAAGTAATCTTTACCGTTTCTGAGCGGCCTCGGCAGCTTTGGCTCTGGCCTCTTCAGAGGCTAATCTCTCTTGTTCTTTTCTCTGCTGCTTATTGCCTCCATCGAAGCAAGCAAAGCAACCCATTTTTTTAGTTTCTTTCACCTAAAATCTGTCTCTTTCTCTGTTATTACTTGGAAATTCTAGCTGCGTATACCGTATTTATAGATTGTGATTCGGATTACTTCCACGCGCTTTCTGATTTGTTTGCTGCACGCTACGTCATTAAGGGAGGACTGTCTCGTCTTTTCGTTCTTAGGGCCCACAGCCCACTATCCCAAGAGGGTGCCGCTACTGCCGTATATTGAATATTCAATACGATTGGTTAAAGTTACAAATTTACAATCAGAAGAAATAAGTAAATAACTTCAACGGCAGCGTTTTGGGCCTTCTACCATTCTCATTCAAATCCCAAACATTTACTAGCAGAAAGCCAGAAAGCATAAACCCTTCTTCCATAATCGACCGAAAAAAAAAAAAAAAATAACCCAAAGCAAAGCACAGAATGCCACCGTTAGAGTCACTTTCACCAACAGAAACCCTGGAAATCGAGAACGGCCTAACACTAATACCGCGGGTGAAGCTTATGCTCACAATCTACCCTACAAGTCCCTCCGTGACAAAATCCATAGACGAGTGGCGGCTAAAGCGCGCATTAATAGAATTCCTGAAGACCTCCCTCTCTGTCTCCATCACTGTCCCCGAAGAGGACCTGGAAATCAGACGGCTCAAAGATCTCAAGAAACGCAAGCGCGATGAGCCCGTTGCACACGGCAATCTCTTCATTCGCGACCTAGGATTCCTAAACAATACCAGTAAGAAAAAGGGGGACAATCCCGTCGAAGAAGAAGAAGAAAATGATATAAAAGTTCTAGAAAAGAAGTTGTCAGACTGGAGAAAGTACATTCTTGAAAAAATGGACGGAATTGAATTAAATTTGGAGGGTGTTAAGTATAGATTGAGTGTATCAGTTCCAGTTTCTGATGAGTTCGACAAGATGAAGAAAGATTGGGAGGAGTTTTATGCTTTTGGAAATCGAGGTTTCACTAATAGTTTGTAAAACTTTGATTGTTATTATTATTATTTAAAAGAAAAAATAATTACTAATTTGGATAATTTATTGTTAGGTTATTCAAGGGGGAGACAAGAGCCGGATACTATAGTAATTAGAGGAGTACCTTCGAGGTGGTTTGCAGAGCCGAGGGTTTCGTCGAAGCCGTCAATGTTGGTTACACATACTATTTTTTCAACATTTGGGAAGATAAGGTGTTTTTTTTTTAAAAAATATATATTTTTTAACCTTCATTTTGCTGTATGTGATTGATTTTGTTTACACTATGACATAACTTAATTGCATATCAACCTTATTGCCGTTTTAACTCATACTCAATAGGAATCTTAATGTTGCTGAGGACGATGATTTAGGTAAGGATGCGGACGAGGATGAGACAGTCATCGTTTCAGGTCTTCATTGTAAGATTGTGGTTCAGTTTGAGAAATACTGGGACTTCTATAATGCTCTTAAGGTTTTATGTGGCCGCTCATTGCAAAAGGTAGGAAGTCTGATTTTTTCGATATCGGAGCATTGCATTATTCTTCTGTGAGTTATATATACCTCCACATTTTATTTAGTTGTTTCATTAGAAAGTTTCTTTCAGTTTTTTCCTTAGAGTCTTTGAATTAAATACCTAGGGTTTTATGTTGTCAGTGGGAGCACGTTGCATTCTCATCTCATTCACCAGTTCCAGACTTGAAGCATGTGAACAGTTGTAAATTAATCAACCACCACAATTGTTCTCCTTTTACTGTTTTACATAGTCAATTGTAACAGCTAAGTATTAGAAAAATGAGGAAGGAATCATGATTGTTCATTTTTGGAACTAATTTTAGTTTCTTTCTGGCATTCATAATACTTGGCACCAATACTGGAGATGGTATAGATCAGATAATGAAAAAGTAACTCTGTTTTTAACTTATAACTTGGATTTTTTATTGCAAGCACGTACAGCTCTTAGATTCTAGGTCTTTCAATTGCATCATCCATGAGTAGAACATAAGACAGTTTGACGTTTGAGCATGCACATCATGAAAATTTGTGTTATAAGTTCAAATTTTTTAATTCTAATTTTTCATGAAAATACTGTATGCCTCATGTGAATTAATCCTCGCCTTGTCTTCAGAATTACTTTTGGTGATCTTCTGGGACATGAGTTGTATGTCTTGTGTTCTTTTAAAGTTTACTGTGAATTTGGATATTTAATACTGTCAGTCAGTATGACATGGCAACGTTCATGAATGCGATTTCTTGCTTGTATAGCCAATCAGCTTGTCCCAAATGGTAGTTTTTTATATGTATCCATGATGTGGCAGGGAGAAGGCCAAATGTCAAAGTAATACATGGTTTGAACATGTGAATTTCTTGTTAATTGTTATTTTATTTTTGTGATGATGATCGCAATGACTTGATAATGAGCAGCAAGGGTCAAAATTGAAGGCTGATTACGAGGTTTTCTGGGACAAGGATGGCTTTTTCCGGAGCTCAAGAAGTCAAGCAACAGATAGGAGTAATAGGACGCCAGCAAAGGCAGCTGGACAAAACAGACGTGAAGATACTAGACATGATATTTCTCAGTTTGATGATACACGCCGGAAGAGGTTCAGGGTGAGAGATTGAATATATTAAATGAAAAAATAACACAATTTGTTGCTCAAACAAGCTTTCTCAGTTCTCAAACATCTTCTGGCACCAATTTATATTTTGTTTATTGGCTGGTGGCTAATATGTTGGTAGACTATAATGTTGCCCCATTTTGTCATTTTTTCTGTGTTTGTAATTTGTGATTGGTCATATAAATTAATCCCTGAAATGAGGAAATGATCCTTTTTTCCAATTGCAGGAATAGGGGATTGTGGTACTCGTTTTGGAAGAATTTTTCTTGTTGGGCTCGGCGGGGGAGTTCTTTCTGGTTCAACAATCAAATACTTGTGTTATCAGTTATGGTCTCGATTATGTATATTGTTTACATTTACGAAATTGGTGCTGTAGTTCTTAACTCTATGTTGTCTTGTACTAGTGGTTCATTGATCGATTATAAACAATTGACACTGCGCCAGCTGCTTCCTTCTTCCCCCTTTTTTGTCGCACGGCTTGTTGTTGGTTTTATTTTTAGCCCTCTTCACGGTATTACAAAACCAGAAATAGATAAATGAAAAGAACACAAAAAGGGATTTAACTCGCAGAATTATAAAGGCTGGCCTCTCAGTCTCTGATCCAATAGACTTGTTTGGGAGGATAATTTGTATACGAGACACTTTGATCCTGTTCAGATTTGATTGGCCCATCTATAAGAGACTGGGCTTGCTAAACTTGAATATCCAATTTTCCTTAACCACGTTAGGCGCGCAAATGACTCGAATAGTAGAGTCGAAAATCAAAGCAGATAAAGATAAGAGCACCTTTTGGCTTGAGGATACATGTACGGGCATCTTTGGTACACTGTTAGAAAAATATTATTCTGAAAAAATGTTTTAAGGTGAGTTGAGTTGAATTAAGTCAAATTAGATTTGAATATGAAAATATGTTTGATAAAATATCTGAAAATTAGATAGCGTGTTGAATAGTTTTTTGGTTCATTTTTTGAAAAAAAAAATTAATACAAAATAGTTGTTTGTTACATCTTTTGAAAATATTGAGATTATTCTTTTAACATTCTATATTTGTTAATTTAGTCAAACAAACACTCCTACAATGAAAGTTTAAAAATGAACTAAAGTACACCAATCACCCAAGAGAACCGTCGGCCACCATCGTCGGATGACGATCGCCAGAATAGCGTATAATCAGTTGAATCTAATCGATCGTATGTTAATATAGTCGATATGGGTTGGTTTTTAAAACATTGTTTTATACCATTAAAAAGGCAGGAAAGATGATAGATCCAAGCCGCAACAAGACCTATTATTATCCATTTATGTTTTACATACAGAACTGATATGTACTTTCCCTGTTGTCTAAGAGCAATTTCAACAAAAAAGAGTTGTCGTTTCAAATGATGGAGAGAACAAGAATGAGAGAAAGTTAGAAGCGTAAGCCAAATAAAGGCAATCAACTATACCGCCGTAAGTAAGTATTGTCATTAAATATTTAAAATTCCCACTGGTCTGATCTGACCCTGATAATTCGGGTCAACCAATTCTACATGCTGATGGTTCACACAGGCAATCCCCCATTACCAGGAAAACACATCTTAGAAGATGGCCATGTCTGCACTGATTGAGAATTTGAAAGTAAAATATCTGGTCCTGTTCTGTTGTGAACATGAAGAGAGTTGAGCAGTAAACCCTAATTAAAATGTTTGGTGATATGATTTTGTGGCGAAATGGGGCCTTTGGCCATTAGGCCTACCTCCTCACATTTTCAACCGTTCTCAATCATGGTACAGATCCATCACTTTCCTCTCGTTTTTCTGGTATAGTGTACGCCACGTGGCCCTATATGAATTTGGTAACCGGAGCGCCAGTACTCTGCCATGTCCGGTTTGATGGTTATTGAACAATATTTTCCTGCCACACACATAACTGTGTAACTCTGACTTTGCCCATATTAATAATTATGGCATCCCTTAAGCTCAGCATGATTTCCTTAAAAAATTATGGGATCATGGAGTTGATATGTACATCTGGATCAAGTGCAGATTCACGAATCATGAACTGAAATTTCCACCATGACTTCCTGACAAAATAAACAGATAAGTTTCGACACAAAGACACACTGTTTTCTTTTCTGGAACCAAAATTTTCTTACAAAAATCACAATGCCAATGCCATTCAAAGTAACTTGTTGATTACATGACAAGGGTTGTTGCTCTACCCTTACTCAACCCAAATAATTATTTACTAATCATAATTTACATTTGTCGACATGCCAAACATTAGATTGAATTTCCAACCTAACCCAACAGGTATTACTTTATATCAATTAACAAAACAAATAAAAAAACAAAGGATCAGATCATCATCTTCACCAGCCTTGTCGATTACCACGTAGTCCTCGGGATTGATCTTTCACAGCCCGAGAGTTATTACCACTCTTTGGAGATTGAACTTTGACAGCCCCACAGTTTTTACTACTCTTAGGAGAAGATAATTCATTACTGACCGTCTTGATCTCACTCATTCCTCTTACATATTTTTTCTTCCTTTCTTGGCTTATTTCATTTGAAGAGTTCTCTCCCTGTAATGTAGGTACCATGTACCATCCAATAGAGGTGCAGAGTATTGCAAATGATCTCCCAAAAAATACTAGAAACAACAAAATCAAGATGATAGCTGCCGGCAAGTAATAAGAGGGTCGCCTCCAATCATTTAACTTTATCTCATTCCATGAAAAGCTCTTCTTTTTAGTGATAATCCTATCATCTGATATGGATCTTGAGAGCTTGCCTTTACCTTTTGATTGATCTACTAGAAACTTATCCACGGTTTTTGATTCATGCTGTACAGACGTCTCTTTGATATCATCGACACTCTTGGTTTTCTCTTTCTTCACCTTTACCACGATTGGAACAAAGTCATCCGTATCTTTATAGACGAAACGAACAAGAGATATATCTTCTGAACCCCTCTGTGAATAAATCTTTTGCTTTTTCTCTTCAAGCTCAGCTAGTAGTGCAGAGAACTTGTCTAACCCACGCGTCGAATATGGGTTCTTGGTACCCTTGTTATGGCTTCTGCTGCAAAAGCTATTAATTTTGCTTGCTCTTCTTGGCGACAAAGTCTCCATCGGAAAATGATTTTAATTAGCTATTTAGCTGGTTATGGGAGGAATGGACTCAGTGAATTTGTAGATGAAATCACAGACGGGGAAGTAGTAGTTATCATATATAAAATGTCTGGAGAAGACCAAATCCACGCGAACTTGTCAAAATAAAGGGTTTGACAATAAAATAAATCATATAATTTATAGAAGCTTCGACGCATTTATATTTCGGTATGTGTGGTCGTTTGACTTCTTGGAGGACAAGCAAGGTCTAAGTTTTTTTTGCCCTTTGGTTGCGTTTGATTCGGGTGATATAAAATTAATCTTGTAATTTTTATTAAATTTTTAAAATTTATTTATTTAATTATCAAGTAATAAAATATTACATAATATTTTATTATAAATAATATTTATTGTTAATAATATTAGGGATAATCAGATTTTTTTACCAAAGAGTGTTAATATAAGATTACCAAAGTAATCTGAATTTTGATCATATTTTGCTTTTAATCTTTTATCATTTCGGACGTATTTGTCCTTATATGTTTACCAAATAACAATTAGCCCAGACCCTCTATATTTGAGAATTTAGCTAAAACATCTCAACCACAAAAAAGTTTAAAAGTTAACAAAATACCCCTAATCACCCAAGACCACCGTTGGCCACTAGTCACCACTGCTGGCTGCCGACGAAAGTTGTCATATCGACACAAGACCGACGAGATCTTGCTGGTAAGGACGTTTTCGGCCATGGATCTGGATTTGTGATCCATGACCGAAAATGATCAGATCTTGTCGTTTCACTGCCAAAGATGTGGCCGTGAAACGCTATAGATCTGGCCATGAAAAGGCCAGATCTTTGGCCATGAAACGGTCATATTCACGGCCAGATCTAGTTGTTTTTTGCCATAGATCAAAGATCCATGGTCAAATTAGGCCTTACTGGCGCACGACTAACTAGCTCCGGCTAGCCATGTGCCATTACGGTAGATGTCAGTGGTGGTGGCTAGTTGCTAGCAGTGGCTTAAGGTGGCTGAGGATGATTTTGCTATAAATTAAAGTTTTATATGGCTGGAGTGTTTTAACAAAATTTTAAATATAGGAGGTTAAAAAAATAACATAATATAATATTATTATTTTAAAAAAAAGATAATTTAGCAATCTATATAACATACCCATTCATTTATCTTCCCAACTAAATATATTATTATAATATACACATCAATTTATTCCAACCAACTAAACATATTTTTTTAAAGATTTCTTGATACTATATTTTTTCAGTAATACAATATTCTCCAGTAATATAATTTTCTCTGAACCAATCGGACTGTAAATTAAATTTTCAATGCTCAAAGAAAACGAGTTCATAGAGCTGAATGAATTATGGTTTCAAAATATTCCTTGGAAAAGCAGATTTGAACAGCTGTATATATTTCTCAAGTATATGCGTCTTCTAGATGACGCAGTCCAGGCCAAATTTGGTTGAACTGTAAGGTTAATTGAATATAATAACACTTAATTAACTAAAATGTGGGTGAGGACATGATAAAAACAATAATCTTATGCTTTGCAGAATCAGATTTTATCTACTGGCTTATCCCATTCCTTGTTTTAAATATTTTTAACAAAAATTAACATCACTATCAAATCCTGCTTTTATTATTNTATTTTTAAAAAATTATATATTAATCTCTTAATCATTGATTGGGTTGATGATGTTAGCGATAATCTTATTTTTAAAAAATTATATATTAATCTCTTAAATTTTAATATATTACAAAAAATCATTTTAAAAAAGTTCAAATTACTCCCTAAAATTTTTATTTATTTCAAAAATACTCCAAAAAATTACCATTTAATCCCTAAACTTTTATCTCCAAAATACTCCTATAAAATTATAAATTAACCTTTATAATTTTAAAATATTACAACAAACCCCCTAAGACCTGAACCGAACTGGAGAAGCTGTCGAGTCCCGATCGGATCGGCCAGTTCGGTCCAGTTTTTAAAACATAGCACATTAGGCGTGCAAATGACTTGAATAATAGAGTCGAAAATCAAAGCAGATAAAGATAAGCGCACCTTTTGGCTTGAGGATACATGTGGGCATGTTTGGTGCACTTTTAAAAAAATATTATTATGAAAAAATGTTTTAAGTTGAGTTGAGTTGAATCAAGTCGAATTAAATTTGAATATGAAAATATGTTTGATTAAATATCTGAAAATTATATGAGAGTTAGATAAAATGTTGTATAGTTTTTTGGTTCATTTTTTGAAAAAAGTTTTTAAGACAATAATTGTTTGTTGCATCTTTTAAAAATATTGAGATTATTTTTTTAACATTCTATATTTGTTAATTTAGTCAAACAAACATTCATACAATAAAAGTTTAAAAATGAACTAAAGTACACCAACCACCCAAGAGAACCGTCAGCCACCATTATCAGATGGCAATCGACAATCACTAGAATAGCGTATAATCGGTTGAATCTAGTCGGTTGTACGCTGATATGGCTGATATGGGTTGGTTTTTAGAACATTGTTTTATCCCATTAAAAAGGCAGGAAAGATGATAGATCCCAGCCGCAACAAGACCTATTATCCATTTATGTTTTACATACAGAACTGATATGTACTTTCCCTGTTGTCTAAGAGCAATTTCAACAAAAAAGAGTTGTCGTTTCAAATGATGGAGAGAACAAGAATTAGTGAAAGTTAGAAGCGTAAGCCAAATAAAGGCAATCAACTATACCGCCGTTAGTATTGTCATTAAACATTTAAAATTCCTACTGGTCTGATCTGACCCTCATAATTCGGGTCAACCAATTCTACATGCTGATGGTTCACACGGGCAATCCCCCATTACCAGGAAAACACATCTTAGAAGATGGTCATGTATGCATTGATTGAGAATTTGAAAGTAAAATATCTGGTCCTGTTCTGTTGTGAACATGAAGAGAGTTGAGCAGTAAACCCTAATTAAAATGTTTGGTGATATGATTTTGTGGCGAAATGGGGCCTTTGGCCATTAGGCCTACCTCCTCACATTTTCAACCGTTCTCAATCATGGTACAGATCCATCACTTTCCTCTCGTTTTTCTGGTATAGTGTACGCCACGTGGCCCTATATGAATTTGGTAACCGGAGCGCCAGTACTCTGCCATGTCCGGTTTGATGGTTATTGAACAATATTTTCCTGCCACACACATAACTGTGTAACTCTGACTTTGCCCATATTAATAATTATGGCATCCCTTAAGCTCAGCATGATTTCCTTAAAAAATTATGGGATCATGGAGTTGATATGTACATCTGGATCAAGTGCAGATTCACGAATCATGAACTGAAATTTCCACCATGACTTCCTGACAAAATAAACAGATAAGTTTCGACACAAAGACACACTGTTTTCTTTTCTGGAACCAAAATTTTCTTACAAAAATCACAATGCCAATGCCATTCAAAGTAACTTGTTGATTACATGACAAGGGTTGTTGCTCTACCCTTACTCAACCCAAATAATTATTTACTAATCATAATTTACATTTCTCGACATGTCAAACATTAGATTGAATTTCCAACCTAACCCAACAGGTATTACTTTATATCAATTAACAAAACAAATAAAAAAACAAAGGATCAGATCATCATCTTCACCAGCTTTTTCGATTACCACGTAGTCCTCGGGATTGATCTTTCACAGCCCGAGAGTTATTACCACTCTTTGGAGATTGAACTTTGACAGCCCCACAGTTATTACTACTCTTAGGAGAAGATAATTCATTACTGACCGTCTTGATCTCACTCATTCCTCTTACATATTTTTTCTTCCTTTCTTGGCTTATTTCATTTGAAGAGTTCTCTCCCTGTAATGTAGGTACCATGTACCATCCAATAGAAGTGCAGAGTATTGCAAATGATCTCCCAAAAAATACTAGAAACAACAAAATCAAGATGATAGCTGCCGGCAAGTAATAAGAGGGTCGCCTCCAATCATTTAACTTTATCTCATTCCATGAAAAGCTCTTCTTTTTAGTGATAATCCTATCATCTGATATGGATCTTGAGAGCTTGCCTTTACCTTTTGATTGATCTACTAGAAACTTATCCACGGTTTTTGATTCATGCTGTACAGACGTCTCTTTGATATCATCGACACTCTTGGTTTTCTCTTTCTTCACCTTTACCACGATTGGAACAAAGTCATCCGTATCTTTATAGACGAAACGAACAAGAGATATATCTTCTGAACCCCTCTGTGAATAAATCTTTTGCTTTTTCTCTTCAAGCTCAGCTAGTAGTGCAGAGAACTTGTCTAACCCACGCGTCGAATATGGGTTTTTGGTACCCTTGTTATGGCTTCTGCTGCAAAAGCTATTAATTTTGCTTGCTCTTCTTGGCGACAAAGTCTCCATCGGAAAATGATTTTAATTAGCTATTTAGCTGGTTATGGGAGGAATGGACTCGGTGAATTTGTAGATTAAATCACAGACGGGGAAGTAGTAGTTATCATATATAAAATGTCTGGAGAAGACCAAATCCACGCGAACTTGTCAAAATAAAGGGTTTGACAATAAAATAAATCACATATAATTTATAGAAGCTTCGACGCATTTATATTTCTGTATGTGTGGTCGTTTGACTTCTTGGACGACAAGCAAGGTCAAGTTTTTTTCCCTTAGGTTGCGTTTGATTCCGGTGCTATAAGATTAATATGTAATCTTTATTTAATTTTGAAAATTCTTTTATTCTATTATCAAGTAATAAAATATATTATAAATAATATTTACCGCTAATAATATTAGGAGTAATCAAATTTCTTTATTAAAGAGTATTAATATAAGATTATCAAGGTAATCTTAATTTTGATCATATTTTACCTTTAATCTTTTATTATTTCAGATACATTTACCCTTATATGTTTACTAAATAACAATTACACAGACCCCTTTATATTTGAGAATTTAGCTAAAACATCTCAACCACAAAAAAGTTCAAAAGTTAACAAAATATCTCAACCATTCAAGACCACCGTCGACTGCTAGTCACCACTGCTGGCCATCGGCGAAAGTCATCATATTGTCAAAAGACCGACGGGATTTTGCCGGTAAGGATGTTTCTGACCATGGATTTGTGATCCATGGCTGAAAACGACTAGATCTTGTCATTTCAAGGGCAAAGATGTGGCCGTAAAAAGCCTTTTTGGTCATGAAACGGCCATATTCACGGCCAGATCTAGTTGTTTTTTGCCATAGATCAAAGATCCATGGTCGGATTAGGCCTTACTGGCGCACGACTCGCTAGATCTAGCCAGTCGTATGCCATTAGGACAACTGTCAGCGATGGTGGCTAGTTGCTAGTAGTGGCTTGGGGTAGGTGGGAGAGATTTTGCTATAAATTAAAGTTTTATATAACTGAGGTGTTTTAGCAAAATTTTAAATATAGGGGGTTAAAAAGTTATTTTAAAAAATAATAAAATAAAATAATGTTATTATTTAAAAAGAAGGGCAATTTTGTAATCTATATAACATACTTATTTATTTATCTTCTCAACCAAACATATTATTATAACATACCCATTAAGTCATTTCAACCAACCAAACACATTTTTCTAAGGATTGTCTGATAATCTATCTTTCCAGTAATACAATATTCTCCAGTAATATAACATTCTCTGAACCAAATGGATTGTAAATTAAATTTTCCGTGCTCAAAGAAAACGAGTTCATAGAGCTGAATGAATTATGGTTTCAAAATACAATAATATTATACTTACAAAGAAATCTTATAAAGTTTTTCATACAAAATGAGGTGACAAAAAATGAATGGAAGAGTAAAATAAAAAGACAAACTCATTAAATTCATTCTTCTATTCGTTTTTTATCACATTACTTTGTATGGAGATCTTTCTCAAATTTGTTAGTAAGTGTAGTATTAGTATTACTCTTCCAAATATTCCCTGGAAAAGCAGATTTGAACAGCTGTATATATTTCTCAAGTATATGCGTCTTCTAGATGACGCAGTCCAGGCCAAGTTTGGTTGAACTGTAAGGTTAATTGAATATAATAACACTTAATTAACTAAAATGTGGGTGAGGACATGATAAAAACAATAATCTTATGCTTTGCAGATTCAGCTTTTATCTACTGGCTTATCCCATTCCTTGTTTTAAATATTTTTAACAAAAATTAACATCACTATCAAATCCTGCTTTTATTATTATTATTTTTTTAATTTAAAAATGATGTAAATATATTAAATGTTAATAAGATGTTAAACAACATCTATTTAAATTTTTAATGCAGGGTTGAATATAAGTTTCTAGAAGAGTAAAGGACATGATCCCACCCAAGGTTTCGTGAAATAGCAAGTTCTCACCCCCGTTTTCATAAATTTCAGATTTCTGTCTTTATATGTTACTAATGCATACTGATTTTACATATCCAAAGTAATTAATAATAATAATTAATTTAGTCATAACCTTAACCTTATCTAATCATCAATAACTATCAATATCACAGGACATAAAATATGTTTTTCATGAAAATTTCTGGTATTGATAAAAAGTTGAAACAAAGATTGCGTGGAGGCTGTGAACAATTTAAAGAATATGTTTGTGAAAGCAAAACTTGAGATTCTAAAATGGGCAATGGTGTAATGACTTATGAGGTCAATGTTTTTACATGAGAAACTTCCTTTTGTTTTTATCCAAATAAAATACCCAATCAAATATTCAAATCACTAATCATTAACAAAATAGAACAAATAGTAATAGTCACTAACATAGCAAGCTTAACTTAATTAACTCAACCCACCCTTATTTATTACTTCATTTTCCTCGAACGAGTCAAGAAAGACAACTAGGCAAAACCAGATGATACTCAAATAAACGTGAAGCTCACATTATATTAATTAATGAATGATACAGCTGACTTCATTAAAATCTGGGTGCTTGGAATGGGTATGATTACAATTAAAAGGGAGAACGATATTTTCCCACCCAAGCTTTGGCGAAACGACATTTTTTCACCTATCAAGTTTTAAAATGACACTTTCTCACCCTTCATTAGGTTTTATTATGTTTTCCTTTAATATTTTACTGAAAAAACAAAAATACCCCTAAATATTTTACTCTATAAATTTTTTATTATTTTTTAATTAGCCAATAAGTTAAATATTAAAAAAGAAAAAAAGAAAAAATAATTAATCCCACCTAAAAAGTTAGGAATAATATTATAAAATTGTTTAAAGTTAAATAATCTTAATATTTAGTTATAATGCCATCAATATCTCATCACTATTATTTATAATGTTTTTCATTTTTACTTATTAATATAAAAAATTAATATTCTTAATTAATTAAATAAACAAAGAAAAAAATATATCTTTATACTTAAACTAATAAATAATCGAATAAAAACTTTTAATTAACTAAGTTTTAATTTATAATAAACTAATTAAGAAATAAAATATTTAAAGGTATTTTCATCTTTTTAATCAAATATTAACAAAAAATACTAACAGAATCTAATAAATAGTGAGGAAGTGTCATTTTAAGACTTGACGGTTAGAAAAAAGTGGTTTCATCAAACCTTGGGTGGGAAAATGTTGCTCTCCCTGATTATAATTGGTCCTAAACGTTTTCCCATTCCCATGTGAATATTATTAAATCAAATCAAACCAATAGATTGACTTTTATCTCCCTATGCAGATTTCCCATGACATAAATGTCGTTACATTGATTTATTTATAATTCTCTAGAAGTTGTTTATGTTTATCTAACTTTCGTACGATAGTGCCCCAGCTGACTGAACCTTCAAAACCAACAAATCTATCCAAATAATTACTAATTTTTCAAATGTACAATATACCCAACTAGGTTATAAAGCAATAGATTAACCTGGTATCATTTATTTGAGTAATAACATATAGAGGACTTCAATCTTCGTTAATGTAATCAAATTTAAACCATTATCTAAGGTCCAGTTGTAGTTTGGGAGATGGACATGATCACATGACGATGATAAGTTAAGAACCTTTCATAAACTTAGGTGTGTTACTGTGTTTGGGATGTCAATGAATTGAAACCTCAACATCCCAAGTCGGATCTTGTTATAGCAAGTCCTGTAGTCTGCGGACCTTGAAGAGGCTGAAGCAGTGGTCGGTGGTCTATCAGGTGAGGGGGCTATGGTTTGAGATCCATAGGATAACGGGCCTTCACTACTGCAGGTCTATAAATTGGGCCTGGTGTCGGTAATCTTCAAGATTTTCTTTTACTTTTGCTGATACAAAATCATAAATACACACATTTTCAAGATTTAACATGTAGGACTGTTTAACTTGCTCTTGCTAACCAACAAAAGTTAATAGTTGATACAACTTTACAACTCCTACGAAGAGCAGGTTACAATCAGAAGCCCAACTTTAAAGCTCCTGCAATAAGTAACATCAGAACTCAGAAGTCTCTTAAGAAGGTGAATTCACACTAAATCACAAACAGGCAAAATGATTATTAGAAAATACCATTCTTCAGCGAAATTGAGTTCATGACTCCTTAGAATCTAAGTTGTCATCATCCTTAATGTACTTCTCCTGCACAGCAGCAGCTGTGGATTCCTTTGTTAAGCAAAACGATAATAATTATGATTACAAGTCACTCAACTTAATAATTACATTACAAATGGAAAGTAAAATTGACAAAATTCACTCTCCTAATGTCTGCAAATGACTTGCTACATGAATCACATTCAGAGGTTCGACCAGACTCTAGCTAATCCCAGCCTGCGGAATATTCGAGTTCTTTTGTAGCATTTGGTTGAAGGAGGGATAAAAAATACAGTGCACTCTCCTATTGCTTTGTGAATAAAAGTGTAGATGCAAGATGAAGGTGCAGTTGTTTGAATGATTTAGTGACAGCAACATCACCCCGACACACAAAAAATTGGAGAAACAAAACATGGATTAAGTTTTTCCTAACCAGCAGCAAATGATTTTCATAAAATTAAATTGACAGAATATTCATGAATCCCAAACTTCATATGTACAGAGCACCAGGATGAGGAAACATAGAATTATTAGAGAAAAGGATATTTGTAATACTCCCAATCAACATCACGAATTGCAATCTTGCTAAATTCAACTGCACTAGCATCTATGCCAGCAAAGATATACCCATTGCTCTTGTCTATCTGCTTCACGAGATTCCCTACACTCTCTTTATCCTGAAGACAAGCAGCTGATTGAGAATTACTACGAAAACAAGTCAAACAACAATTCAAACAAAGTGGAGGAGGAGGTCATAGTGAAACTAGTTACCTGAATATCTAAGGTTGTAAAATTGACCAAACTATAATCTTCTATTACATCACACAGCTCCTTTGTGAGCTTTCTGCAAGAGGAATTACGAAAAGTTTACCTATGGTAGGTATTTAAACAATCTAATTATCACACATCTCTCAATGTGATGGGAGAATACCAGTCTGATTCTTTGAGGCTGAGGGAGAGTCAAGTATAAACATAATATTCTATGTCAGCCATAAAGCAACATGATAACCTAAATTCATTACAAAATTTTAACAATCTAATATAAAATTAAATGATGATTACAAGACTAGATGTCAAAAAGCTGTCCATTGCAATTGTTGGTTGCATCACTACCACAAGTCATATCTGTATATTATTGTATGTTCACTAGAATTCTATGAAGAGTATGTCTAAATTTATAACACTGTTGTCCAGGGAAACAATAGAAATTTGAAGAATTAACAGTCACATAACTCAATATTGCCTGTACGACAATACTGCAAGCACCACTTAAATTGATTTGTGTCATTAATCCACTATAAATCAAACCTGTACTTAGCAGAACGAGGGTCTTGATCAAGATGGTATTGTAGATATGATAAATCTTGCACATCCGTATAGAAATCAAGATTAAAAGCTGCAAGAAGTCCATAAACAATGATTAGCAAGAGAAAGTAGCACAAGGCACTTGTGATATTATTTGATAAATTATGCTAGACATAAAATGGGGAAAGTTAGGGCTATAATCACACCTAGTTTTCCATAGTTCTCAATTAGATCAATCTTAGACAACACATTGATATGAGGGAGTTCCATATGTAGCATGGTAGATAGCGACAAAAGCAATGCACTAACATACTTCCCAGGGTCACTGCAAAGATGGGCATCAACTAGATGCACTGCAGTCAACTGCAAGAAATGAGGAACAGATTGAGATTTGTATAATTACAATATCTAAAGAACAAAACTGAATTCACCTCAAACTTTCAAAGTTCCTGTAAAGATAAGGACAAAACATACCCTGAGGTCCAATTTCTTTATGAGTCTCATTATAACACTTTTGGCACTGGAATGAAGGAAAAATAGTTCAACTTGACCAGGAAAATCAAAGAGAAAATAGTGATCTGCAAAATACCTAAATCATTAAAAACATTTAACTTTAACAATTTTACATACTACTAAGCAAAACCATGCACGATAAGATAGTTCAGTTATCTAGCCAAAGAAAGAGAATGAGAGAGATCTTAACATCCAACAATCAAGTAGAAAGCAGAATATTAAACATCTAATAATTTACCGAATGCCCAGATAAGTATGTTACATGATCTATGCTCCAAAAAAGAGGATGTCTAGGTTTAACATGTTACATATATATGCTGGTGCAAGAGTGTCCAAAAGGCCAAGAAAGCCGAAGTTGACGGCAATGGTATAATGAATGGTAATTTATGCTGAATTACAAAAATTCATTTACAAAGAGTATATCTAGGAATGTATGATTATGATCATCTATAAAGCATAAAATTTTGAAGCAAACAGAGCAAGACTTGATAAGCTTACCTTTTAGAAGAGGTTCTAATTTAGATTGCAACCAGTCAATATTCTTCTCTAAATAGTCCATACAGTACACAAGACCTAGTTGGGAACAACATATACTTTAGAAATTGCAAGACAAGCATATTAATACAAGGACATAAAATAAAAACATGACTGCCGCAAAGATAATAATAATAATAATTAAAAAAAAAAAAAAAAACATTTAGAATCTTTCAAAACTCTCTTATAATTTACAAGTAGTTCTCCAAACTCTTTAAAAGCAGAACATGAAAAGCCAAATATCAAAAAACTCAAGAGTTCAATAAAACCTTTAAATAAAAAATCAATTTTAGCAAGAAACAAGAATAAAGGGAATGCTCACCTCCATTGGGACCAAGTGAGTGCTCCATCATTACATCACTTAGTTTTATGAGATCCTCAATATTCACAGCACACTCATAACTATATTCAAGTCAAGGATATTTAACACTCCTCAAAGCATAGTACAAGCAAACACAGCATTTGCATACAAATTTAGTGAAAAGGATACGGCAACGCATCATTAGCAGGATCCAAATTAATAACAGCAACCTTCCTGCACAAAATCAATTAAATTACACTCTAGCAACAACAAATTGGCATGAACATAGCGATTTTAAGCCATTTATACTAATTAGATGTAAGCTTCAATAAAATCATAGACTTTACTACCAAAGTAATAAAATTATATCACGTGCGTTAATAAAAAAAAAAAAAAAAAAAAAAAAGAAACTGAACTGAGTTTCATGAAAAGAAAATAAGAAAAAGGTTACCTGCCAATAAGGCTGAGAAACTGAGACATGCCATTACAATAGGTGGTTTTTCCTGAACCAGGTGGACCAATCACCACTTGCCCGAACACCATTCTCTCGAGTGCTTCGGCGGAAAATTTTATTTTCTTCTCCTGTTTCGCCAGGAAGCTGAGTTTTGACAAGAAGAGAAACGAACCGAAACTGGGTTCAGATACTTTGAGGTTGAATAGTTCAGTTTAATTGAAGAAACAAAAACAACTTTCGAGATTGAATAGTTGGGTTTAATTGAAAAAAAGAAAATTTTAAAAAATAAAATCGAAACTGGTTTAGAAACTTCGAGATGGAATGGTAGGGTTTAGTTGAAAAAACCCAAAAAATAAAAAGGGGCATTCCGAGAATCGAACTCGGGACCTCTCGCACCCAAAGCGAGAATCATACCACTAGACCAAATGCCCACTTGTTGTTAGTGACTCATTTTAAATTAAATATAATACTTAAAAATGAAGTACTATTTTACAATTGTTCTGCACACTGCAAATTGATAGGGTAAATCTCGAAAAGAGTGAAGGCAGTGGTAAGTGGAAAAACAGGGGAGAAGGGTGATGGTTTTAGGTGAGTGGTCCATATGCATATGATATGTGTTTGGCACATGGTTCAAGATTGGGTGTATAATTGCAGAGTGTGTGTGCTTAACTGGAATGGGATGATGGGAATAATTGTTAAAGTAACATGAATATCATCATCATCATCATTCATCTACTTCTACATCATCTGGCTTCCACTTTTACATCTAAGACTACGAGTTTGGGCCCTTCTAGCTTCACAGAGTTATACCTGGCTTCTACTCTAAGAAATTGGACATGAAAACAGAGGCTGATATTCAATACCTATTTTTTTTACATCTGCCATGCATAGTAGAATGAGATGATGTAACCGTATATGTATAATGTATTTTTGATATCCAACATCATTACATGGTTAATTTAATCATCAGCTGAAATTATTGGTCAAGGTTGGATAGATAGTAATTATACATACCACGAACCTTCTCAATGGTTACAATTACAAATCGGGAATAAAAAATCTAGTTATTTTATTGCATAGTGGACTGCTGGATCCAGAAGTTGATAAAAACAAACTAGTTTAAATTGAATATTCTTTGTCTTTTTCACTGCCTCCTAAAAGAAACACCCACAAAAACACTTCCGAATAACTTAAATAATGCTTCATTGATTAGAGACATCATTTATATATGGTCAGTCATTACCAATGAATTCATCTTCATTGTTCATAGTGATCATAAGTCATCCAAGAAGAGTCATATAAATTAAAACATATTAAGGTCAGAAATTCACTTGAAATAACAATCCAGGATTAGTGAAAATCAGATTAGTGAAAGATACTAATCTTCATGGTCCCCGTTACCTTACAACTATCTCATGGTCCATATTTGTAGACAGGGAAGATATTTTTTTTGTTGATTTGTATGTTAGTGGAGATGGAGGCCAGCTACATAATTTAGTCCTTGATTGACTACTTTTATTAGTTCACATTAGCTTAACTAAAAATAATTTAACTCATGATCAAGTGATTCTATTTCTATCAAACTCAATTCTATTATCTATCTACTATACTAACCAATATTCAAGTTTACTGTTACTTTGTCCATTTATGTTAAACAAATATGTGGGAGATAAAGGTTGTTAGGTGCTTCAAAATTGAACAAAATGATTGCCAAACTTTAATCATCTTTAACTCAGCTTTTGGTTTCCGCAATTCTCTGCAGCCCACATTGCTCTATCTTCATTTTCTTTATCTCCTCTTGTTTTCTTCTTGCTATGAGTCCCTGCAAAAAGTACAACTAGGGAGATTGTATAGGCTATACTGGTGAGGTGGGAATTGAAAGACATGGCATCATTTGCAGGAACAACCCAAAAATGCATGGCTTGTGACAAGACTGTGTATTTGGTTGATAAATTAACAGCTGACAATCGTGTCTACCATAAAGCTTGTTTCAGATGCCATCACTGCAAAGGAACCCTCAAGGTTTGTGTACAGATAGCTTTTCTTCTCGTTGGTAATGGAGTTTGCTTACGTCCACTAATGCAATATTCTATATTGCTTCTTCAGTGTTTGTTTGTTTGTTTTTTTTTTTTTTCATTGTATTATTGTGTTTCTAGCTACAAAATGTGGTTCCTTCAGGTTTTTATTCATTCACCGACAATAGTCTGGCAAATTGTGTGTGAAGTTGTTGAACATATTTTCATAATCGCTTTCACATTCAAATTCAAACTGCACAATAGCTGATCTGATTACCATTTGTTCATCTTATTTACAATACAATATTCCTGGAATATGCACCTGGAGTATGATGCTATAAAACTTTAGATCTACCCAATAAGATCAAATCATAATCACTGATGAAGTCGATGAATACTAAATTTTACATATCTAAAGTAGCAGCAGTTGTTCTGGCTGTTCCTCTTTGGCTGATACATATGTTCCGAGGGTTGTTTCCTAGTTCAGTGAGATATAGTCTTTTCTTAATCTGAGACTCTGTATATGAATTGATATAGTTTGTGTACAATCGGCTACATCCCTACTGACAGAGAGATTTATTTGCAGCTTGGCAACTACAATTCCTTTGAGGGTGTCCTTTATTGCAGGCCACACTTTGATCAACTGTTTAAGAGAACAGGCAGTCTTGACAAAAGCTTTGAAGGTATCAATAATCAACATTACAAATTCAATAAAACCTAACACATCTTATTAAATTACTCGCTGACTGATAATTGTCTTATTTCTCTTCCCAGGGACACCAAAGATTGTAAAACAAGAGAAACCTGTTGATGGCGAGGTAATTCGCTTGGATTATAGATGCGTTTTATGAATCATAAAAGTACTTCCAATACCGTCTTTGATAATGACTATGAGATGCTTTTGACAGAGACCTAATGCGGCTAAAGTCTCAAGTATGTTTGCTGGAACCAGGGATAAATGTTTCGGCTGTAAGAATACTGTTTATCCAACTGAGAAGGTAACAATTTTAGTTATTCGAAACAAGCATAAGCACACATACTGGGCTCTAATTTTAACATTTATAGGATTCCCATATAAATCATCAACGTTAATTATGGTTTTTCTCTGCTAAAAGGTGACGGTCAATGGAACTCCTTATCACAAGAGTTGTTTCAAATGCACTCATGGAGGTTGTGTAATTAGCCCGTCCAACTACATTGCTCACGAAGGCCGATTGTATTGCAAACACCACCACATTCAGCTCATCAAGGAAAAAGGTAATCTAAGCCAGCTTGAGGGTGAGCATGAAAAGGATTCCGTGAACGAGAAAGTCAATGGGAAAGAAGTTGCTCTTGAATCATAATCTGCTTCAATGTTTCTGTTCTTTCGCTTTGTCATCCGATGTTCTTCTGCCCTTCATGTTGCCGTGACCATCATTGCTTTCCCTGCAGTCCAGATGGCTTTGTGCTAAGACGTGAAATTTTTGGTATTTTAGTTGAATTCGTGTGGGGTTTTGTTTGGTATGTTTAAATACTTTGGTGCAATTGTGGATGCTAAATTGAGAAACCAAGAACATTTTGATTCTCAATCTATGCTGTGGTGAGACTTCATGATGTAATTTGTGAATTCTTATTGCTTCAGATTTTTTGTGAGATTATTGGCTTTGAAGGACGATTGAGAATTGGTGATGCAACACTCTAATGGCTGCAGATCCTATTTCCTTTTAACTTATGATACTAGGGAACACATGCAACTAAATAATTGCAAATCTGCATTTTAACTTGTTAGCAACTAACAGAAAAGCAAATCTTTCCCGAAAGGAAAAAGTAATAGTTCTTTAGAATGAGGAACTTTCTTTATAAAAGACCCAACTATGTCTATCTCAGAGGCTTTATAATGAACAACTTTCCTTATATGACCAAACTATATCCATCTCGGAGGCTTTATGTTAGTCCCTACTCCCTACCACCAACTGCAACCTCCTCAATTAAAAGAATGATTTGCACACTGCAGATCACGCTATCAAAATTGCTGAAATCAACTAAGATTAATAAATAACAGGTTTAGAACCTACAGAGTAGTTCACAGATGACACCAACACCCAAAAAAGGCTATGGCAAAAGATGCCCGTAAGCATGCAGTAAAAAAGAAGTCAATTATGTAAATTATCCCACTTTAGGCTTCCAGCAGATAATCCATAACATGGAAGCAATCATCAACATTAACTGCAGATTATATAGGCATACTCTGTCAACTACAAAATTTGCAATTTTTATGATTAACTTTCAGAAGAAAAGGAAATGAAAAAAGAGAGAAAAAGAGAGACTGCATACTTATGTTGAACTGGATATTTAAGTCCGTCAAACAGGTTCCAGCAAGGATGGCTTACTAACTAATCATTCTGTATTAACATTGTTCCTAATACTTGTTCGAAAGAATGGGAACACATTCATGCAAACGGGATACTACCACATAGGAAATAAACAAAAAAAGGTTTCTATAATAAACATTAATTCATTTATCCCTGGAACAAAGTATGGTACACAATACAGTCCACAAATTACATCCAGAAACGATTCTATTTTGTACACAGAATAACCTAAAACATGAAAATCAATCACATTAAACCTCCACCGTGTCAAGAAGACAACCATCAAGAACCATATGTTTGAGGTCTATGATAAAATTGTCCCAGAAAAACCCAAACCCAAATGTCCCATTCCGGTAATGCCAAATCCTTCCTTCTCCTTGTCGAGGATTTGCAAAAGTCCCTGCTGAATCTCGAATGACTAGATCATAACTTGAGTTGATGTGCATTATATGAGAGACCATGGTTGAGGGACATTGGCAATGTGTGTGATTTGCCACTGTTAGTGAATGATGGTGTATGCGACTATCATAAATATATTCTTCCTCAGGAGAAAGTGGAGACTCAATGAATGTAGTGTTTGATGTCCAGAACACTGGGGCAGCAGAGCCAGAGGACAAATCGCCAACCCTTCGGCAGATGATACCCCCAGTATCATATGCCACAAGATAAAAATCTAAGCTAATGTCATCATATATTCCCTGCAATATGAAGCCCAAGAGAGACATCAGACAAGCTGAAATGAAGAATCCCCCCAAGCCAGCCATCTTCGAACAAACTATGAACAATAAGAAGTAACAGTAAAGAAAGTAAAACAAGCAGTTATGCTAACAAGAGCCAATGTGGAACTTCAAATTGACAATCCAAACATGATTTCAACCCTGGTTCGACCGAGTGGGACAGTGAAGAAGATTGAAAAAAAGGAAGAGAAAACATCCTTTCTTCTAAAGGGGACTATAAAGTTTCCACAACATAAAATTGTAAAACAAAATAAAGAGCTTGCCGAAGCACCATTTAGTCTCCTTTACGAACAATTTACATAAGCTAATTTGATAAGAAATGTTGTCCACCATAACTTGAATTTTCCATAATTGACTAGAGATACAAGCATTACTTCAGAAATAAAACAATGATTGACAAATATATGCACATGAATAAATAAAAATGGTTCATTAAGGCCATCTTCCCTTAACAAATAAACTGGACTAAGGTGGGTGCCAGACTGCCAGTAGATAAAATTGCAAATAAACTTTTCAAAAAGCCAACAATATTATACAATTAGTACCAGTAATGATTTTCAAGTCAAGGAAATAGTCTTTTACATTTATCTGCAATATCATTAAGTAATTAATAGATATAAAGTATAAACAGAAACAAGTATAAATAATTTGATTAACAAATAAATGTACAAAGACAATAGGAAAGGTATTCACAACACCTTCCATAATCCCTGCAAAGGCCGAGATGGCGTGGGCGAACAATCCATAATCTTTACAAAATGCTCGGGCTCCCATCGTCTCTTCCCCAGTCTCTCCTTCTCTTTCCTCCTCTGTCTCCTCCACGCTCTATCCCCAACTGGAGATATCCTATTCGCGAATTGCATATACATTTCTGTTACCAAACATTCCCCAGAACTGCCATCGCTATCGTCTCCTCTAGAATTCAAATCCATCGAGCTTGGACTCCTGCCAAACACGGACTTTCCAAGTTCTCGATAATAATTAGCATAGTTTTCCTCAACCAGAACATGAAAACTCCCCATAAAATTAACGTTAACTGATACCAAATCCTCAATAAACCCCAACTGACAACATTTTACAAAATCATCCCATAATTTAATTTCCCCATTAAGCTGGAGAAAGTTTACGATTTCGCCATCGGAACTCAAACTCATCCACAAAAACGGAGACTTTGAGACATTGTAAGTACCGTTTCGCGAGGGAGACACCCTAGAGCCAGAGAGATATGAGGGGCCCCACTCGAAGAAAATCAACAGCGGGGATGAATCATTGACCATGGGTTGACCACTTCTGCGCCAGAAACCGATCAGATTCTCCCATTCATTGAGAGTTTTGTAAAGGAGCCTGTAGGAGATCTTGCCATCTCCCCATTTTTTGATTTGGGTTTTTGAGCCCCATCTTCTCTCGCAAATGGTGTACCAGAGCTTGCCGTCGCTGTTACACAGCGAAACGAACCGTTTTGATGTGCAGGCGAAGTTCGCGATTTCTCTTGGGGAAAGGAACGATAAAATGAATAGCTGGATATCTTCAGGGAAATCGCAGAATGAAAATAAATTCATTTCATCCATCCTTAGTAAAATTCGATGAAAATTTCTCGGCAGAATTTTGTGTTTCAGGGAAAATTTTGGTGGCAACGAGAGATAAAAGAGTTGTGTCCCTGTGGGATTTGGTAGATTCTTGGAGAAAAGGGAATGATTCCTTTCGGTGACTGTAGAAAGATTAAAGTTCAAATTGGGGAAGTAACTCTGTCTTTCTGTAACGGGGTAAAAATGTAATTTTGTTTCTGGATCCCCTACAGAGAGTGTAGGAATGAAATTGGTGCAGAGTGTCTGGATCAGAGTCTGTTTGTATCCAGTAAAATGATTAACCACTGATGTGCTTACATCTGGCGGACAACATGAATGAGTCAATTTTTTAATATATGCATTTTAGTAAATCAATTACGTGTGATGCATATGGGAATGTATCCTCCACGGCTTCTCATCTCTTTGCTTGAGCAATACGGTTTTGAATCATTTGTTATTAAAAGAGGTTGGGAAACATATTAAATTACATCTCTAGTCTCTCTACTGAAATGAAAACCACAAAAAAATATGCAACATGTCTTCCTCTTCGCAACCACACACATAATGATGACACTTTCATTTATTTATCACTGGTAGATGATCTGGTTCGTCGAAAATCCTTGATGTCACCCTCAACAGATGCCGAGGCTCTATCAGCTGTCCGATCCCTTGAATCACGACGCTTAGACCTTCCAGCATCCACCCTATCACCACCGTTAAATATTTGACCCAATCGTCCCTTGACCGACTCAGGAGTAACGTACGATTTGGTTTGTAACACGGATGAATACGAATTCCAGAACTCAGTGTAAGCAGGAACAACAAATTTCAGAGTCGCTGCTCTGATTTGCTCTCTCAAATCAAAATCAGGAATATTATAAGACTCAATGTGCCTTTGTGAAATCTCATCAAAACTCTTCATAAAAGCTTCCATTTTACCTCTTATCAGAACTCCAACATTGGCTGTGATCTCGTTGCTCTGCATTTTCAATTCTTCTTCGTCCAACAACCTAACAAGAGGTCCCCAAGCTTGCCTTTGATACAAGTAAGCTGATTCCTCTGCCACAATCTTGTATTTCTTTTTCATGTATTGTTCTCCCAATAGTTTTCCTAGTTCTGTGTTTCTAGTTCTCATATAAATGTACCAGTAAGTGTTCATGGCAAAAACGTGGGGCAGAACTTTGTCCTTATAATTTGACCGTTTTGATTCGACGTTTCTTTGGAGAGCTTCCATCACATTGAAAATTGCATCCTTGAGTAAATTCTCATCAGTTTCGGGTTTAGACAAAATCCCAGCTTTCCAAATTTGTTCTGTTCGAAGAACTTTGGCCATAGGTACACTGTGAGTCTCGGTTGCAAGGTACTTGAGATAATTAATGGCATATCTTACAAGTTTTGGAACTGAGCCATCTTGTGGTGGAGGAAGACCATCTGCATTCCCTTCAATTTTGAGACCGAACTCCCAAAACACTTTGCATGAAGCGTGGACGAGTAGCTTTTCTAGTTCTCTAAATCTAGTACAAATCCCACTTCCTGCTTCCCCTTCAAAAATCTCTGAGAACTGGAGTTTAAGTTTTTCTAAGGAGTCGAACATATCCAAGAGCTTGAACAACTTCTGTGGCTCTTTGCTACTCCTTGCAACGCCTTCTCCAAATCGAAAAAAGACTGCCATGATTTTGTCAGCAATCTTGACGAAGCATTCTGGCCAAATAACTCCTTCCAAGATTCCTCCCAAAACTTGGATGCAAAGCTTCTTTTCTGATACAAAAACAGTTTTAACTGCAAGCTCAAAATGTTGAATCCACAGGGTTACTGCTGTCTCCAAGCTCTCCCACTCCATTTCATCAATTTCTTCAGAAGTGTATGTCCGCAAATAATCAGGGTTTAAGCGCATTAATGCTTTCGCTGCTCTTCTGTATCTCGCCTGTTAAACATATTTACATCACCAAATTAGCATCTAAATGTCAGCCCGGCTAATCAAATTTACCCTGTTCAATTAACCTTTTAATCTTAAATTCTTTTAATGATCCCGCCGCCAGAGGTGTCTAGCTAGCTATTATCTTTGTGAAAAATTAAAAAAGAAAATCTTTTTCTTTCGTTCAGAATTGTTTTCTAATTGATCTTCATATTTGAAAAATTGAACATACCATCGTCTGATTCTCGAGTAATACATCTCGAAAAATCATATCTTATGTGGCCAATGGAACGGCTAATTCTTAACCAAAATAAGTGGGCTACATCTATTAAATTTTAACAAATTATTTCTTCTGACTAATTTACTGCCTTTTGTTGAAATGGCAAAGATATAAGAGTAAAAATATTACTTGAAAAAAAAATACACCCAAAAAAGTTTGTTATATACTTTTGGTTTGCATTTGAAAAGAAAATTTGCTTCAAGCAATAATTTGCATATTTACCTTGACAAAGATGTCGATACATATATCCAAGCAATCATTGGAAGCCAAGGTTTCTGAAATTCGCCTAAGAACTTCGACCTCCATTTCTGTGGCCAGATCAGAACCCACCATCTCTGCTTCTTTATCTTCATAGGCCTCGCCTATACTTTGATGCCTTAATTTCTGTAGCATACCCTCAAATTCATCCTGCAGATTCAATAAAGCCTCATCAAGCAACCCGTCGAACCTCGTGGCATCAACCTCAGTTTCATACAGAGCCTTAAGAGTCACCAAAGTCTCCCTCAGCCTATGTGTCCTATACTGATCAGTGGCTTTTGTCCGGCTCAAGAACTCCACTACCTCTTGAAGTTTTTGAATCACCGGCTCACCATCTTGACTTATTTTGATTATGGTCGTGTTAAGCTTATCAACACAATCAACATATTTTATCAATTTTCTAAGCCTTTTCTTGGGATTCTTCTCAGAGGATACTTTGGAGGAGAGTTCAAGAAGCTTGTGTTGGAGAGATTCAGCAAGCTTGAAGCTATCAAGGAGTTCAAGAGCCGGAGACACAGCTCGGCTGATTCTAGTTTCGAGGGCTTTCGCGGTCATAGCCAAAGAATGTAAAGGTGCTACTCTCCTTGCAGCTGTTGTAAGTATCTCTTCTATAGAATCAAACTTCTTGTCCATGTTTGCTAGATTCTCATCGAGTTTGGAGGAGGTTAGTAGGAGTTTTTTCAAGTCTGTGCAGGCTAATTCCAGCTTTGTGAGCGTTGAATCCTCTTCGCCGAGTGCCATTGGTTGGTCTTGATCTTCTCTCACCTAATTAGGAAGAAACCTGCGAGATGTTTAATTAGTTGAGAACATTGAAATGAAGGAATCAAGGAGTCATGGATGAAATCTGAAGGCTGTATTTCGTCAATGACGAGAACAATGATACCAACTGAGAGAAAAAAACGACAGGAAGGTCACTACGGAGACTTGATCATCTCGATACAATTGTAAGAACAAATGGCATTGGCCTATGCTAAATAGACAAATGCATGAAAGGAATTTTAAGAATAAACAGCCGATCTCCTTTAAACCAGCTGGAATCGGTCCAAATTCCAAACATGATTCTTGTCTTTCTTTCCTCCTTTCTTTTAATATTTCTTTTTCATACTTTTGGTCGTATGTCACAATGAAACGGCCAAATGTTCATACATCATAGAATTTCACAATCACAATTAATGTTAATATAAGCCATGTAAGATAAAGATGGGATTTGCTGGTGAGTTAACCACTTTTTTTCCCTCGAAATAATGCTTTAACGATGTTCTTCTATCTACAAACTTTTAAAATATTATTTTATTACCTAAATCTATTTTACACGATGAATAGATAGCAAATTCGATCTAAATTATTAGAGCTTTTAAAGAAAAGAGGTCGACGAGTCTTTTGATAGTAGAAGATTAGATTTTGACGGTTAGGATTGATTAGAATTTGACTTAGGAAAGACAGTTATACAAACCCAAATCGCTTGATTACCCGTGATTGGCAGAGTTGACGAGAGTGGAGTTTAAGGGGTTGTGGTGAGTGATGATAGGAGAAGAGAATGATGGTGGTATGGGGTCGCAACAATATTAGAATCAGAAACGGAATATAAATTTATATAGTAAAGTAGTATTTTAAAAATCTAACTGGAAAAGGTTATTAAGCCATTATTTAGGTGGGAAAAAGTAAATTACTCTTTGCTGGCCATGCTACTGCATGGCTATGAAAATTTATTGTTCATTATTGTTGAGTTAAATGGTAATGGTTACTCCTAATTTATACAAAATAAATAAATAAACATATAAAAAATAGAATATCTTTATAAAATAAGCACATTTCATATTTAATTGTTTATAATCATGTATTTAATTTACATAATAAAACTTAAATTGAAGATTTATATTAAAGAAAAAATTATAATTTGTTGATGCTTAATTTTGACACCAATGGCTTCGTACATGTAAAATGCTAAGAAGTTGTACATGTAAAATGCTAAGAAGTTACACGTGAGCAGATAATAGAGAATGAATGAAATACTGTGACGATGGTAACATGCAAGTACGTAAAGTAAAGTTGATGAGAGAGTTTTATAGTGTTTCAGATGCTTAAAAGCGACTCCAACATCCATTGTAGTTGTTTATACAAGTGTTCCTTTCTGATCATTACACAAATTTACAAGGGTCGTGATCTGTGATTACAAGTGTTTGTGTTCTAAGAGAATGTTACACCAGTCTATTTCTAATAGTGTGTCTACTATTTGCTTTGTGTAATTTGTGTGTATTAATACAAAAATCTGCACTAGCCAGAGAATTTCGATTAACCTTGTCAGAACCGGAATAGATGTGTGTGTGATTTAATGAAAATCAGCAATGAATAAAAAAGAAAGAGTCATAAATAAGAACACAAAATAATTTTTAAAGTGGTTCGGTAAGTTAGAACTTGAGTCTATGTCCACTGTTATCTTATTGCTTACAAAGAACAATATAATTCCTAGGAAAATTTGCTTAGAACAATTGTCCAGCCCCCTTGAAAATAAGTTATGATGGGTTTATATAGCACCCATTTACATGATAGAGTTGAGATAAAATTCAAATACGTATAATTACAAAGTTGCATGATCTTCAGCTACCTTAGTTGGCGTCTAAGTCAATCTGAATATCTTTCTTCCAAATTGAGCCAATCTAAATATTTTCTCTCATAATAAGGAATTATCTTCTCCGGATTGACCGCACAACA